TGACCCTGCCCTCTACCCTCTGATTGCGCAATTCCAATTCTACCTTACCTTACCTTACCTTACCTTAGTTGGTCATCGGGTTATAAGGCCACTCGGCCTATGGGTCCCGCTCGTATCGAGTGAAAGGCATAATTGGAGAGGCTATGGTCCTTAGTACAGGGTAGGGATGTCGAACATCACGCTCGACCAGTGCCGGTCCAGCCGCGCCTTGAAAGACGACAGCGACTCAGCAGCGACGACGTCTGTTGGGAGGGCGTTCCAATCGTTGATGATTCTGACGCTGAACGCGTTCCTGCGAGAAAGATGCTTGGCGTTTGGTTTCCTCAGCTTCCACTGGTGGCCTCGCGTGTTTTGCGCTTCGTGTCTCGTCAGCAGTGACACAAGCGGCACATCCAGAAGTCCGTGGAAGAGCTGGTACACGGTCACCATATCTCCACGGCGACGGCGGTAGTGCAGCGATGGGAGGCCGGGGCGGCGAAGCCTGTCAGGGTACGGCAGGTCTCTGAGGAGGTCCGTGATCAGGCGGGTCGCGCGTCGCTGCACCCTCTCCAGTCTCTTCTGGTCTTCTTTGGAGAATGGACCCCAGATGGCGTTCCCAAACTCGAGGAAGGGTCGGACTAAGGCCTTGAAAAGAAGAGGCAAAGTGAACTCATCCAGGTTCGCAAACGACCGACGGATCACTGCGAGTATCTGTGAAGCCTTGGCGACGGCAGCGGCTGTCTGCTTGTGGAATCTTAGCTGCCTGTCGATGATAATACCTAGGTCTCGTTCCTCCTCGCAGGCGGCGACAGCAGTTCCATTCAAGTGGTACGTGCGGTCTGGGTTGTGGAAGCCTAGGTGCATGGTCTTGCACTTCTCACCATTGAAGGGGAGCAGCCATGTCTCCGACCAGCGGACCAGAGCGTCGATGTCGTCCTGCAGGCCATCGTGGTTGGCAGTCATCTTGCAGTACAGCTTGGTATCGTCTGCGAACATCTTCACTGTGTTGGTGACCTGTGCTGGCATGTCGTTCACATACACTGTGAAAAGTGCAGGACCGAGGACGGTGCCTTGCGGAATGTCGCTTGTTACTGGAGCCCAGGCTGACTTGCATCCCCGAACAACCACCCTTTGAAGGCGCTCAAACAGGAAGGCCTGGATCCAGTTCAGGAGTCGACCCGACACACCATAAGACCTCAACTTGCCTAGGAGTCGCTTGTGTGGTACCAAATCGAATGCCTTGGCGAAGTCTAAGTACGCCACATCAACAGGTACTCCCTCTTCCATGGCAGCAGTCCAGTCCTCAATCACCCCCAGGAGCTGTGAGGTGCAAGACCTTTTGGGGAGAAACCCATGCTGAGCCTGATGTAGCTGGCCAGTTGAGGTTAGGTGTGCAAGTAGGCTGTCCCTTACCAGTGACTCAAGCACTTTGCACGGCACTGCAGTGAGACTCACGGGTATGTAGCTTGTTGGCTCCTGACGATCTCCTTTTTTGAAGATGGGCGTTATCTCCCCTGTCTTCCACTCTGCGGGTAGACATCCAGAGTCCAGAGATTTCCTGAAGAGGAGACTGAGGGGGTGAGATAAGACGCGCGCAGAGTTACGAAGCACACTGGGTCGGATACTGTCAGGCCCTGGGGAGCTTCGTGGGTTTAGTGCATTCAGATTGTTTCAGATTGATTGTTTAAGAACCGACGATAATACAAGGTAAAACAGAAAAATCGCTCTCCTGAAAAATCGTCAAAAACGAGTTACGCTTCTTTTCCTTTTCACGGCAGTGTGACCTACAGGAGCCGGAGAGCTTTGTGTCGACCAGTCAATCTGGGGGAGATTGAAGTCACCCACGAACACTATGTGTGAGAAGGTCTCGGAACATGCTTGACGGATGAGTTGGTTCATCTGGTTGATACTGTCTTCAGCGGAGCCGGATGGGCTGCGGTACAAACATCCGATGAGTAGGCAGTCACCTCCCCTTAGTGACAGTGACACCCATACATTTTCAGTGGTTGAAGCATCAAAAAAGACTTCGCTCACTTTAAGGTGCTCTGCGGCATATACACAGATGCCTCGGATGCCACTGCTCCCTAGGTTCGAGGTCAGGGGAGTAAAGTTATGATGCACTGAGTACCCTGGGATCTGAAGTAGAGCTGGGTCAATGGGTAATCTCTGGGCCTTGGGTATGACTTCAGTCAGAAGAATCAAGTCCGGTTCCTTGTTGCATATCAACATACACAAGTCATCTCTTTTGTTGATGAACTGATCACAGTTGGTGTACAGAACAGTCAGGTCTTCCTTTGCTGACTTAACATCTTTGGGGTGCACTCTTAGTCATTCAGCTGCTCTGTACGCAGACTGGTTTGACTGAGAACGGCTCCCACGAGTGTCTTCAACTGGCTGGTGCAGGTTACCCTCCTCCTCCCGGGTCCCCGTGTTCCCGAGGCTCCTCCTTCCATGTTGCCCTTCAGCCCGCAGGCTACCTGCCTCTTCTTGACGTGGGGCACGGGTGATCTTGCCATTTCTGATCACCAAGTTTGTTTCACCAGCCCCTCTTCGAGCTGCCAATTCTTCACGGAGCTTCCTGTTGGTCTCTCTTTCCTTCTGGGTTAGGTCTGGCGTTAAATAAATGTTAGAGTACTCCCCAGAGTTTCTCAGCCAGGATGCTCCTCTCAGGATATCAGCTCGGCATGCTGGATTGTCAAGGGTCAGGATAACCAGTCTGGGTTTACCCTGCAACCTTCTTCCGGCTCTGAAGGATTTAGAAGCTGATACGCTTATTTTCATCACATCCTTGATCATCTTCAGGATTGCCAGCCTATCCTTCTCTGCCCGCTCGTTCAATGGACCTTCCTCGGGCTCTGGTAGGTTGTGCACGACAATGTTGGCTTTGCGTCTCTCCCTGTCCCAGTGGTCGTCCAAAGCCTTTGTCAGATCCAGGGCTGAGTGTTGTGTGCTTTCATTACCTTTTGGGAGTGAGCTCAGCTGGGTTTTCACTGCTTCAACAACCTCCTTGCAGGTGCCCTTGACAGCATCTGCATAGGAAGGTCCTGCTGAGTTTGCATGCGCCTCGACTGCTCTCACCTGATCTGCCACACGCTTACCATATGCATCTAGTGCTTTTTCCATGTTGACGGCCTGGTTCCTTAGCATCTCTTCTTGGCTTTGGACAGACTTTGTGATGTGCTCGATGTGGTTCTGGACTTTTGCTTCAAGCTGAGCGAACCTACGGAATTCTATGGCAGAATTTGGAGTCCAAGGTTTAACGTGCGCACAAAGCAGCGCACTGTCGGTCCCCTCGCTGACTTCGCCTGGCTATGGCCTGCCACCAACCGCAACCATACCTGTCAGGAGGCCCATAAATGTCAAGCGCCCGTCACGCTTCGAACCCGGACTGTTATAACCGGGAACGCCTGCTCTCACCAAGCGGAGTCCAACGCTCTAACCAACTGAGCTATGGGACCAGCAAATTTGGGTCATTGGGTTTCCATGGAAAATCAAGCTCAGACTATCCAACATTGAGAGTGTTACTATCCAACATTGAGAGTGTTCTATAGATTAATGATGCATCCATGGTCCACAGAAACCCAATATCGCTATGTGTAGTGCGCAGTAGCGTTGTGTCTTAAAACAGAGCCTAGGCTTTAGAGTTCTAGTCAGCCAGCCCCAGTCTGCAAAGAACCTATGGCAATTTCCAGCTGGTGTGGATTTGGTGCGTATTTTGGCTTGGTGCAATGCAGATGTGTAGTGCGGTGCGGAATTGGCTTAGCGACAGCCGACGGACATAACAGACCAGAGAAGTAGATGAAAATCTAAGAAAAAAACATTGTTGGAGCTTCAATGTATAATGCAGTGTGCTATCACGTTTAATTGAGCGTGGGGTGGTCAGAACGGACTATGCCAGCGCTGGTCGTCCCATAATCACCCTGGTCGTCCCATACCTAATCATGCCCGCAAGTTTGCACTGTTACAACACGAAACGCATCGCTCAGCTCTGCGAGGCGGTAGAGCGAGAGATGAGCACTGTCAATGGGAGGGATTCGAGATGTATAGTCGACTACAGAATGATATTCCACTCCTCAGAAGCTGTCAGTTGACCGGAGCGCTAAGTTGTGCCGTTTATCACTCAATTAAGCGTATCGATTGTGAGCATTGGGACAAAGCTATAATTTGTGAACTCAGCCCGTGTGATGCGGTACAGCCTACCACTCCAGGCAAATAATTGCCTGTGAAAAGTGGAACATCATTCTGTAGTCGACTATACACTACACAGCCGATGACAAGGGCTAGATCACCGCTCCGCTCCATCGCTTCAAGTAGTCAAATGCGAAGGATTTATCGTGTATGTTTGACACAGCTAATAAGTTGCATTGAAAGAATCTGAGGTTGTTGCATTTTGCAGCATTCGTGAACGAGATGCGCATGGCTGATGACAGGGTTTGGGGATCGCCACTTTACCGCGGCCAAGTAGTCAAATCCGCTGTGAATGACTTGCCGATCAGATTTGTTGTGCGATACAGTTGTAGACCCAACGAAAGACGCCGAAAATGCATGCTGCATGCATGAGATGATTCCACATTTAGCCATTCAAAATCATCTTTCTATTTATAAGTGGATATATGATCGGACAACAATCACCCTGGAAGAATCGCCAGGGGCACGTACTGGATATAGTTCTTGTATTGGCATGCCATCCTTTTGGTTTGAGTTGCGTGGTGCGTATTTCTCGTTTCGTTTCCATACTACTGAGAGGGCAGACTTGCGGCTCATATCACTAATTGCGGTCAGTGCGGATGAAAACTGGTCACTTCTTGGGTTCGGCGCGGGATTTTTGTACTCTCATTCGGCTTTGGTGCGGATTTTTCGGCTCTTTCTGAAGGGTTGGTGCGGATTGTGAGCTTCGGCCGGTGCGCCTCGTCGACCTACGAGCCATACTTTGCAGTATGGAGCCAGCCTTCATAATTTCATGCTCACTTCAGGGTGAGGTGCAGCTTGAGCTGTAGTAGCACCTAGGATAAGGAACAATAAGTTGATGTGACACTGTGCCTACTTTTCAGGACCATTGTGATCAGCATTTGTGAAGTGCTGAAGTGTAAAGTAACAGAGCCTCAGAAGCCTGGACTTGGGTGTTGGAGCTTCAGAATGGCCGACACGGAGTCCCAGTCGTCGATGGAGTACTCTGAGGATGAGGACGACGATGGCGCACTGCAGGAGTACTACGAGGACGGCGCTGATGACCTGGAGGAGGACCTGTCGCGCCTGAACCCGGAGCACTTTCCGGTGGAGTGTCTCTCCGTGGAGGAGGTGGAGCGGCTGCTGAACGAGTGGGTCGAGCAGCTCAGCACCTCACTGCAGGTCAGCAGGTGCTCAGACAGCCCGCAGGTGCTCAGTTATTGGGCTATGGCCAGGTGTGTGAACACACAAGTTTTGTGTGTGATCACACAGGTTATCCCAAAATGCTTAGCATGGTACCTAGCTATGTTAACAAGATCCATAGTTGACAAGTTTTTAAATAAATGTAGATCAAATGTTTGAATGGGCAGATTGATGGCAGTGGCGGCGCAATACCTTCAATTAAGAAGGGGGGGGGGGGGCACTGCCGACTTGGTCCCATTCTTTCCTTGCAACGCCCATAGGGCTAATGTTAAAATGACAAAATCAAGGGAGCACGGTGCCCCGGTGCCCTCCCCGTTCTGCCGCCTATGATTGATGGAGCTAGAGCCTATGCTAAACAGTTGTTTGGTTCACAGGCCCTGGCTCCTACCATTAGATCTGCATTCTGCAATGCTGAGTAGCTGGAGGGTTTAGGTGCCCAAGTTAGAGTGCCCATCAAAGCCAAAGATCAATCCCACTCAAGTGGCAGCTGATCCTGGCCGGCTGCTCCCACCAACTGTAGACCATCCCATCAAGAGTTATGTAAAAAGACGCACGCCATATAATTTTCTTCAGCTTCTGGTCTCGCTATATAAGTACCGTTTGTTTTCAAGTTGCGTTCGTTTTTCAATAGACGGATCGAAAAATCCCAAGCCAGGAATCTCATTCAGAGCGTTAAAGCCGCCGCCAATGGCCGGGCTCTGACGTGTTGCCGCTGGCCGTCGACAGGTGACGCCGTCCCTGGCCAAGCAGCTGCTGCACTCCAACAACTGGAACGCCGCCGAGATCACGGCGCGCTACCGTGCCAACTGCCAGCAGCTGCTGGCCGAGGCGCAGATCAAGCCGCGCCCGCCGCCGGCGCCGGCCGCGGGCGGCGGCGGCAGCGCGGCGGGCCCGAGCAGCGCCGCCCAGCCGGCGGCCGCCCCCGCCGCCGCCGCCCAGCCGCCCGCTGAGTGTCCGGTGTGCGCCTGTGCGCAGCCGCCCAACGAGTACCGGGCGCTGGCGTGCCGGCACCATTTCTGCCAGTCCTGCTGGAGGATGCATTTTGAGACGCAGATCATGCAGGGAATCTCACTAGGTGGGTGTCTGTGACTGTGTGGGGCTGGGCAGTGGGCAGGGAGCATGCTGGTCTGAGCAGATTCTCGCGCTGTTGTTGGTGTGTGTCCCTCTGGCAGATTTCAGTAGAGTATGTGCTGCGGCTGACCACTACTGTCGCTGCTCGCTGTCGCCCTACGCTGCCGGGTCGTCCGCCGTCCAATGTTCTGCTGACGCCGTGGTTTCTGTGGCCGTCCAGGTATTGAGTGCATGGCGCGCCACTGCAACATCCTGGTGCCGGAGGACTTTGTCGTCTCGCTGGTGACCAAGCCGGGGCTGCGCAGCCGGTATCAGCAGTACGCCTTCGCTGACTACATCCGCTCGCAGCCGCAGCTCAGGTGGGGTGGGGTCACAGGTCAGGCCCTGGTGGGGTGGGGTCACAGGTCAGGCCCTGGTGGGGTGGGGTCACAGGTCAGGCCAGGTGGCGTCACAGGTCAGGCCAGGTGCGGTCACAGGGAAGGTCAGGTGGGGTGGGGGTCACAGGTCAGGCCAGGTGGGTGCTGGTGAATTGTCGGGTAGGTAGGGACGGGAATGACGCGAGCTTAGGTCAGCCGCAGTATCCGAAATCATAGTATTGATAACACCAACTGCCATATTTTATAGTCAATGTTTTGGTTTTCAGATTTTGTCCAGGTCCTAACTGCCCCATCATAATTCGGGCGGTCGAGCCCAAGGCCAAGCGAGTGGTGTGCAGCAAATGCAAAACGTCTTTCTGGTGAGTGCACGTGGCGCAGCTGCTGGGAAGCGCCGCTAGCTGTGATGATAGTTGGGCTTAGTGACTCGATAGGCGAGGACGCTGCTGAGCAGCCTTCTATCACTGGTGCTGGAATTTAGGGTGAGGGTGTCATTTATCGACTTGTGAATTCGTTAATAATTTATGCCGACTTTCATTTTCTTTCATGTTTCTCACCTATGCATTCTTTTGTACATTTCACGCACAGAGCAGCTGATAAGACAGCAGACGTGTATAGGAGATCGAATCATTCCCGATGGAATGCCGGCCGCAGATCGCTGACAGTAGGCACTGTGTGGCCGCTGTCAGTTTCCGTTGTGGCAGCGTGTTTGACGGTGTCTGCTGCTGATTGTCCAGTTTCCGCTGTGGTATCGACTACCACGCGCCGGCCGACTGTGAGACTGTGAAAAAGTGGCTCACCAAGTGCGCCGACGACAGTGAAACGGCCAACTATATATCTGCCAACACCAAAGACGTGAGTGGTGCCGCGCCGGCCGTGATGCAGTCATACTAGGGCGGGAATCAAACTGTCGGATTGTCCTTCAAATTGCACTTCATTTGGTGACATCTGAAGATAAATTTGCTTCGAGTTATGAAATAAAAGGTTTGGCAAAGTGTGTCATGTTCGAACATTGACATACCTATTTCTGAACAAGCGAGAGGTTTGCTAATAAGAGTTCCTAACCGTCCGTTCCACGTAGTTTTTTTTTTAACAATCTGTATTTCACATGAGTGGCACAGCCCATCAAATATCGGGTGTGTGTTTTGACATGTAAGCTTTGTGTTGACGTGCTGCTCTTTGTATCCGTTGGCAGTGTCCAAAGTGTCATATCTGTATAGAGAAGAACGGGGGGTGCAATCACATGCAGTGCTTCAGCTGCAAGTTCGAGTTCTGCTGGATGTGCCTCGGTAAGTCCGCAGCGGACCTCCCAGTGACACCCTGACACCCCGAAATATGCCGAGTCTAATTGTGATCGGTCACGTTGTCGTATGTAGTTTCTCTTCCTTCTAATCTCTTCTTTCTCTTCCTTCACTTATCACTCTATTCCCGGCCTTACGTGTAGGTACACTGTACAATTGTACATAGCTTGTCATTGAAGGAGGGTATCACAAACGAATTAACGATAAATGGTGTTGAAGGTCATGGATCAGCATCTTCAGATGATTTTTTTTTTTTTTTTTGAAAGATGTGTATCTGGATCCAAAATTAGCGTATTATTGCCCCGTCGTATGTAATTCGCTCTGTCTGTTGTGCAGCATGTTCATCTATTCAGTCGTGTTTCACGTCCTCACCACGCCCTGTGCACTGTTCCAGGCAACTGGAAGAACCACGGCTCCGAATACTACGAGTGCTCCCGGTACAAGGAGAACCCCAACATCGCCAGCGACTCGGCGCACGCCAAGGCGCGCGAGGCGCTCAAAAAGTACCTGCACTACTACGAACGGGTGAGCGAGGGCCGGGTGGAGGCACTGGCCGGGGATTCGGCGGCGGCACGGGGTTGATGGCAGAATCGTAATTCGTACTCGCCAGCTGATCTGCAGTGGAAGAGAACCATACATGAGTCTCGCTTACTTCCCAGGACCGCGGAGGTAACGGACGGATTATAGTGGTATTAACAGCAGCAGCTGTGGTCAGTCTTGATGTGACTGACGAGTGTGTCGCTGAGTGATACTTTCAGAATCTGTGTGCTGTCCCCTGTCCTTTGTGGCCGGGAGGCGTCTCGGATGTAGGCTGGTCTGACCGTCTGACCGCGTGCTGACGCTGTCTTTCAGTGGGAGAACCACTCCAAGTCGCTGGCGCTGGAGGCACACACGCGCCAGAAGATCGTGGACCGAATCAACCAGAAGGTCAACGACGCCAGCGGCACCTGGATCGACTGGCAGTACCTGCTCGGTGCGCAAATCAGACTGTTTTGGTGAATGGTGTCTATTTTCTTACGGAAACTTTTTCGGTATTTGCTTGTGTTTGCTGACCTTTTGTATCCAGGTGACTGACGGTTTGCGTTTTTTCTCCAGACGCGGCGGCGCTGCTTGCCAAGTGTCGATACACGCTTCAGTACACCTACCCGTACGCTTACTACCTCGAGACCGGCTCGAGAAAGGCGCTGGTGAGTGCTCGAACATCGCAGGACGCCCTAGACATATAATTAAACTGGGAGCTCTTATTCGTATTTGTTTGCTGTTTGTCTGTATACAGCCATTGTAAACTGCTCTTTCGCCCTCGTGTGTTCAGCGCAGACTTGCGTAACGCTGATAATTTTTTTTTTGTAATTTCGCTTATCAGTACAGCTACAGTTATCTACCTTGGATCCACTGAACTGGTCTTTTCGCGCCCGTTTACTCATATTGACGTGTCTGCTGCTATCCAGCGCCGGCCGTAACCCTCCATCCCTGCCTGCCGTCCGTTTCGCAGTTCGAGTACCAGCAGGCGCAGCTGGAACTGGATATCGAGGAGCTCTCGTGGAAGGTGGAGCGTGCAGAGACCACCGACCGCGGCGAGCTCGAGAACCACATGAGCCGCGTCGAAAAGAGCCGCACCATGCTGCTCAGAGAGTTCATCGAGGTGTAGTGGCCGCCGCCGGGACACAGTCGGGGGTCGGGGGGGGGGGGGTACTGTGCGCGGGGCCGCGCCCGAGCCACCAGTCAGCGCGGGCGTGGCCCACACCGTGTCAAACCGGCCCGGCGGGGCGCCCTGCTCCGGGTCCGAGCGAGGTGTGTCGGTGTCAGTGGGCTGGGCAGGGGACAGCCTCGCCCGGTGGTGACGTGTCATAGTCTCCAGGGCGTGTGTGAGGTCCGTGGGGCGCAGAGGGGGCGAGAGAGGGCATGATGGGGTCGTGAGTGGGGTGGCTGCCGCGCGGTGGGATGGACCGACCTAACCTATAGCTCTCGCCTCACTGCGTGGTAGGTAAGATATCCTCATTTCGACAAAATCGAGAAAAGTTCGAGGATTTTGTTATCAATCTCTTGGAAATCAACTCTTAAGATTCGCGATGCCTCACACGTACAATCGAGTCTATTTTAACCTAGCTCTCCGCACGCTTTGACTATAAGCAAAAGTATGTGTTTAGCCAAAATTACAGACGTTTGCCTTTTGCTACCATATTGGGCAGATAATTTAGCCGATGGCATTTTTGTCAAGCTTTTCTGGGTTTTTGTTGGAATAACCTCTACCGCGCAGTGAGGGGCGGGTGCACGGGCCGACCGGTTACCGCCGGGGGAGGACTGAGTGTTGTCGGTAGTTGAGACGAACGTCAGCCGGCCCTGAGCGGCCGGCCGGGCCCGCGTCGGTCAGCGGAGGTGTCCGTGGCCTCACCTGTATCGGGTGGCGCTGGATGGCGACTACAGCCGCCAGAGTGTGTGGAGGGGGGGGGGGCAGCCGGAGAGTGAGGGAGGGGATCGGGTCGGTCCGTCAGTCTGGTCCTAACGGCAGACGACTGTTCAGAGCTGAGCCGGAGCTAATTCACCCCGGCGGACAGCGGGCGAAGAAAATCGTCATTTTCAGTTCGGACTGCATTGGGTAGTTGCGTAAATCGGTTTTAGTTTTTTATTAGAGAACAATATTCTTGCCTGTGTTATTTAATACCGGAATCGCATCAGTTACGTGTTACTAATATTTTTCTTCTCGTATCACCCACGAGTCATGTGGCGCCGCGAGTGCTTGTGTGTGCGTGTGTAGTGTCTTGTATGTGCATGTGTCGCAGTTATGTGCGGTGTAGTGCACCGGTGTGACTGTGACGGTACCGTAAGGTCAGGACGGGGTGTCTCCGTTCATTTATACCCGCAGTGTGTGAGCCTTTCTGAGATTATATAGTCAGTCAGCGCGGCCCGCCGGCCATTGCTCGCGGCGGATCTGTCCAGTCTCAACAAACTCCGGTAGAATGTACAAGCCTTGTGCGGGGTGGCACGCTGTCGCCTCTCCGTGCCATCTGCGCCGCGGCCGGCGGTCCTCCAGTGTCGAGAGCTGGTGCCATACCGCGTCTCCCCGCTCTCTCCTCTTCCAGTGAGGCGCGCCGTGCGTCCGACTGACCTTCCATGAGTACCTCGATTGTGTGCTGAGGCGGCGGCGCCGGTCCCGTCCCGCCCGGCCCGGCCCCGCCGGGGATAGGTCACTGGGTGTCCCACCCCGACGGCCGGACCGGGCCCTGCTTCACGGCACGACGCTACAGTGCTCGACGTTACGCTACGGTATTGGGTTTCCATGGAACCATCAACAAACTCGGATGCTCTCAGTGTTGAACCGTCCGAGTTTGTTGATGTTACGATTGAAACCCGATGGCAATACCGCGATACGCGTAGCGCGCTGTAGCGTCGAGCCGCGAAACAGGACCCGGGTCGGGCCGGCGCCGCCGCCCAACTCGCCAGATCTTCCGGCCGGCGCCGCGGGCTGACCCGACCTGACCCGTGCACAACGGCCGTGTCGGCCGTGCACCTCTGACTGGAGCGTTTACTGAACATGCTTTGACTTTGAATCGTGTTTTTAGATGAGCGGCTGGTGCGGACCCGGTGCATTGAACAGAGATATGGACTCTTTGAAGATTCGCGGTGGTTAGTTGGGGTGACGCCGTAACTACGCGTAGAAACGGAAGTAGATGATTCGGGCGCAAAATGACCTTGCACTCGGCGCGCCCCTAACCCCCAACAAACAAACAAACAAGGGAGTGGATAATTCTGCGAACCAGCTTAACAAACCTCAGATGTTATGTTCGTCCGAATTCCCCAACACTAGCCGCTAGTCGCCGCTGTTGTAGCCTTTCACGGCCGTCGTAACCAGAACAAAAAAAGCGAGTAAGTTCTCTCGAGCAGCGGTAAAAAATGCATAAGCGCGACATACGAACTAAACGTCGATCACCGGACAATTTTGCAGCTCAGCGCAGCATGTCTTCAGACGCCGGGCATTTAGAACATGTGTATTCACGCAATATATGCAAATGAGAAACACGATAATGCCAGCGTACAACGGGACACCAGTATGCGGGCGACCAGCCCTCGCGTGCAACGCAACAACAAAACACCGCCCAAACGGTTATCAGCCCGTGTCGTCCGCGCCCGGCGGCCGCCGGTCACTCACTCTCTCACACACACACATACACTGATACTGGAGTCTGTGTGCCGGGCCCTGCGGCGCAGCCAGCAGCCCCTGTGGCACCGCGCGCCCCTCAGCCCGGCCGGGGGCCGCTGCAGCTGAGTCGGCCGCTCAGTTCATCCACTTTCGGCAGTTGGGCGCGCCGCACAGGCACGGTATCTTATTGCTGTCATCCTCAATGTCAAACTTGTAGTCGTACGCCAGCTGCGGGGCAGAGTGAGGTGTCGTTAGGAGACGGGGTCAGGGGGCGTGTCAGCACTGACGGCTCACTAGGCGAACAACGCAAAGAATGTGCAGGTCTAAGGGATTAGCTACTTTACAACTTATCAAACATCGCCATTGAAACAAGCTGAAACAACCACCAGTCAGTCCACAAATAACTTAAAGTAACTGGGATTCCCTAACCTCCTCCCCCACCCAACCAGCACAGTCACACGCTCGCCCCGTCCTGCCTGTAATTCCTCTCCCTCCCCTGTCCTCTCTCGTCGCCTCACCTCCTCGCCGCGCTGGATACGCCGGTTGGCGAAGATGATGATCTTGTGGTGGCCCCTGTCCACCTCGACGCTCTCGGTGATGCAGTTGGGGTTGCACGAGTGGTTGATGTAGCGCGCCAGGCCGCCGCTCAGCGTGGCGTCCACCACATGGTTCTCGTCCACACGGAACATGTAGATGCCGCGGTTCTGCAGAGGGGGAGGAGTGGCGGTCAGCGGTGGAGGGGGAGCAATCTGATGAGTAAGTGGAAAGTCGATCACATTAAGTGCCTAAACACGGCGGCATAGAACAGAATATCTCTGAGCAAAATACTCGTGCCAGTCTGTCACTGCCACTGATGGCGCAGAAAAGCCCACACATAGGCGCCAGATTCCTCTAGCCGCCCCTCGGTCTCCCTCCAGTTGCTGGTGTCAGCTGTACCATCCCACTCGGTACTCACGGCGGCCTCGTAGCGTTTCTCGCGGCACTCTGCCAGCTCGTTCCGGATCACCTCGCCGATATACTCGATGATCATGGTGAACTTTTCCAGCGTGCGCGCCGCGTACAGGCCCAGGCCCTGGATCTTGGACCTGTGAACGGCATGAGAGTTAGGGCACTATCCGACGGGCGCAACCAAAGACCAAAGTGCCGTTAGCTATGTTTTGCCGGCTGACTCGTATGGTTTGGAAACAAAACAAGCCTAATTTAAAATAGGACGGGCATATGGTTCAAAACAGACTGAGCAATTAGTCATCAGTTAACCAGCTATAGCTAACTTATCCGAGAAGACCATACAACACCCTTCCCCACAATAGCAAGAAACCGAAAGCGTCGTCCACCGTCCACCCGTAGTAGTCTCACCTGGCGAGGTAGACGTTGTTGCGCCACTCCTGTTTCATCTTTTTGTACTGGGAGCTGCGCGAGTGGACAAACTGTTTGGAGTAAGGCGCGCTGCTGTCGGATGTGTAACTGATCTGGGCCAGACTGCGCGCGTGGCCGCCGCCCGGCCGCTGCGTGTGCGGCCGTTTGAAGTGGGTGCGCAGCTTGGCCTCTGATCGCGCGCAGCCGGTCGGGTTGATGGCCAGGGGGAGCTCGAGCAGTGGGTTGCGGCCGTACTTGAACCGGTAGTCGGTGAGTGTGTCGATGCCCGGCAGCGACTCGAGGATTTTGATGATGGCCGGCTCGGTGAGACCGAACAGATCCTCGCCGGTGACGTACTGGGGGAACAGGCGCACCATGCCGGCCTGCTCCCGGAGCCGGGCGAGAGGACGGAGCACCTGCACAGGGGAGGGGAGTGGTCAGATATACTGTACTGGGGGAAGTGTCAGGCGCACCATGCCGGCCTGCTCCCGGAGCCGCGCCAGCGGACGGAGCACCTGACAGGGGGAGACCGGGGGTCAGATACTGGCGTAACTGCGCCCGGTGACACAGCACTGTTTTGGCCTCCTCGAGGACAGAGGGCAGAGAAGTCAGGGGAACAGGTCAGATGCACGCTGCGTTATCGGTCTACCAGACAGCTGATTCGTTGAAAACAACGTTGATTCGGTGTTCAGCTGCCAAACAATCCTCAATCAGGAAAATCTAGAATCTCCCGACGTTCTTCATCACGAAAGCAAGACAACAGAAAAAATAAGTATCGGTCTACATCCTTCCCGGAGAACTACAGCGCGGTCGCTGTCCGCCACTGTAGTATCTCACCCGTTTCCAGACCCCCAGACAGGACCCAGCTGCAGTGACTGTGGTCGCTGTCTATCTCACCTGTTTCCAGACGCCCAGACAGGTGGTCGCTGTGCGCCACTGTCTAGCTCACCTGTTTCCTGACCCCCAGACAGGTGGTCGCTGTGCGCCACTGTCTATCTCACCTGTTTCCAGACCCCCAGACAGGACCCAGCTGCAGTGCTGTGGTCGCTGTCTATCTCACTTGTTTCCTGACCCCCAGACAGGTGGTCGCTGTGCGCCACTGTCTATCTCACCTGTTTCCAGACCCCCAGACAGGACCCAGCTGCAGTGCTGTGGTCGCTGTCTATCTCACTTGTTTCCAGACGCCCAGACAGGTGGTCGCTGTGCGCCACTGTCTATCTCACCTGTTTCCACACCCCCAGACAGGACCCCGCTGCAGTGCCTGTGGTCGCTGTCTATCTCACCTGTTTCCACACCCCCAGACAGGTGGCGTCGGTGAAGGTGACCTCTTTGAGCGGAGGCTCGCGCACCACGATCACAAACTCGGGCAGACCTTCCTTCTCCTGGATGGAACACTCGTACTGACAGCGCTTGTTGGCGCGACGGAAACTCCAGAACAGACGGATCTGAAAACGAACAAGGCGGACTCTCAGACCTGAAAACACTGTCACACGCGGGCAACCAAGAGGGAGGCGGGAGCACCACAATTATTTGGCACTTCCGCATTTTGTGGCGTATGCTTTCCCCTTCCAATGAGCAGATTACGAGGCGTAAATCGTGCCATTGAATGCGCAAAGCATATTTACTAGCAGGGTAATTGTAGCAGACACATTCAAACACCAATCGCGTAATACATCCAACCATTCCAGCCGCCCGCACTGAGCCTATCACAGACCCCGCCGACCGGCCGGCCGGCCGCGCCACTCACGATCTTGTATCCGATGGGGTAGATGTAGTTGCCCGTGTGGAAGGCCGGCAGCTGGTGCGGCAGCAGCTGTCCCACAGACAGGAAGATGAGGGTGCCCACCCGCAGCAGGTGCGACTGGTCCGAGCCGGCCTGGTGCATCACCACTGCCACCTGGCGGCGACACGGACAAACAGCGTACGGTCAGGCGAGATACAAACTAAGAAATACATGGGTCAGCAGAGCCACAGATCGACATGAAATCGGTGGAGACACGGGTTTTCACAGACTCGGAGACAGATAATGGCATGACACGGCGTCAGCTGCGGAGACTAATTGACGGCACAACGCCTGGTTGTGCCACCGGCCGCCGTCTCTCACCTGTTTGTCCTCCTCGCGCTCGATGTAGACGCGCCGGTAGACGGCCAGCGTGGTCAACTCGTTATCCTTCTCCCCCTTCAGCCAGTGCTCGCGGCAGTACACCGCCTTCGTCTTGTAGAACGTGCACTTGTCCTTGACCGAGCACGCCAGGTGGTAGGCCTTGTCGCAGCGCACCTTGAAACACTTGACGGAGGCACCCGTCTCCTTGCAGAGCGTGCAGGTACTGTTGAGCGACTTTTTCAGCGCCAGGTCCACGTTGACCAGGGCGCCGCTCTCCGTCTCGTACACGTCGTCGGCCCAGAGCGCGCAGTTGAGGTGCACCCACTTGTCGACGTCAAAGTTGAGCAGGCGCGCCGGCCCGTCGGACATGGCGTCACCGATCATATGGCAGAACAGACAGCGACGCACCTCCTCCGGCATCCGGGCCGGCATTATACAGATGCCCATCTGGAACAGAAGCTGCGGGGGAGGGAGGAGGGGCGGTCAGAGACCAGTCGGGGACATCCGGGCCGGCAGTATACAGATGCCCATCTGGAACAGTAGCTGGGGAGGGAGGGACGAGGGGATGAGATGGTCAGGACAAAGCAACACAGCATGCAGCACATATAGGGGAGAGTGGGGTAATTTGGCCGGTGGTGTAAATTGGCCGCCCCCACCTGTACGAAAGCTGATAAAAGTGAATGAAATAACTTTAGTCTCTATTCATTTGTCATCGGCAGAACTAACTCGAGAACAAATGTCAAAACTTTCCCCCTCTTAGTTTTATTCAAAATTAATAAAAGGTGAATTTCGTTAGAAAATGGTAACTTTTACTTCCGTTTAAGAATTTGTATAACATGTAGTATTTGGGCTGTAAACGGATTCCAACATTATAGCGCCATTTTTTAGGGTGTTCAGCGGTTCCAAGAGCAAATTTCATCTAGTTTTGTACAGCCATGACGACTTGAAAGACAAAAATTTTCAGAATGGCCATGTGGGGTTATTTAGCCGGGACTAGCGGGGCAACTTGGCCGGTGCGCTCAGAGTCACTATGCTGGGACGGCCGAGTTGTTATGGTCAATTATACCATAAAGGACATAATTCATGACCAACTTTGACTACCTTGATGCCATATTTCCTATTGGACAGCTGTAAGGGCATGTGACGTCATCAAAGGTTACCTATCGCTTTTTGGCTGATAAATACTTACAGAAAAAAAGATACAGCCGCGCAAATGGTCTCATTGTGTTCAGCTCGTCAAGGCGCATCGAATGATATACATGATGACCTTGGACTCACGTAACCTTGAGGTCAAGCGACCTGAGGTAGCGTGACCTGAAGCCAACCTTTGACCTTGACCTCTCGAGGTCAACACATACATGTTTCGATGCGGAATGACGAGAGAATTACGATGGTACTTTTAGTTTTGGCCTAGCTTGATTACTTCAAAAGCTATTCGTAAAAAAACGGTCTGAACAGATTTACCCGATTGTTCTACTGACTGAAGCCGAGCTAAAATGTCTTGAACGATCGGGTCGGCTGGATTAAAACTCCGTAGGGCCAACAGGCTGCTTAGGGAGTCCGATAAAATCAAGTAAAAAGGTCCGTCCGATACCTCAATAAAACACAAAGCCTTCTCGATGGCAACAAGTTCCGGTGAAAACACCGAGGCGAAAGATGGCAACGAAAATGAACGGGTATCGTCGCCAGCGACGAAAGAACAGCCCGCTCCCTCAGGTGTTTTAGAGCCGTCTGTGAATACAGGAATAAAACCATCGTAAGAGGCAAGGTGTTCCAAGGCTCGGACTCGTGCCTCTGCAGGCAGCAACTTGCCCTTTGGAACTGCAGAAAGCGAAAGATCCACCTGTGGACTGACACTTTTCCACGGTGGAGGGGGCGCAGCCCAGGTACGACGAACGTTACGCAATGCTATGTCAACTATTGAAAACAGTTCTTTCATGCGCACTCCGAACGAGGGTCGTAACCTTCCGTTACATCGGGTGGCATGCCGTGAAAAAACGTATGGGTACGTCGGGTGCATAGGAAATTGGCGCAGTTTCAGCGCGTACCGCATACCCAACATCTGACGGCGGAGTGAAAGTGGCGGTTCATGCGCCTCAGCAAGAATGCTGCTCCTGGGCGAGGTGCGGAATGCTCCGGTGGCTACTCGGAGTGCTGCATGATGGACTGTATCCAGGACCCTCTTGCTAGATTCACTCGCTGAATCGTAGACAAAAGAAGCGTAATCTAGCTTCGATCGTACAATAGATCGATATAGAAGAAGAAGGGTCCTGCGGTCCGCACCATAAGATGTGCGGGCGACACATTTTAAAACGTTCAGGGATTTAAAACATCGTTCCCGAAGCGTTCTAAAATGTTCTTTATACGTTAAACGACTGTCAAAAAAGATCCCAAGAAACTTCGCCACCGGACGAGTAGGAATCACCTGTCCATAGAGCTGGATTCCCAAGGGAAGGTCGCCGCAGCGGCGGCGGCAAAAGTGCATAGCGACGGTCTTCGTTGTTGAAAAACGAAGACCGTTGTCACGACTCCATCTCTCCAACCGCGTCACTGCAAGCTGCAGCTGTCTGGCCATATGCCGAGCGCTTGAAGCGGCAAACCAAATGGCAAAATCATCCACGAAGAGCGATCTACCGATCGAGACCGGCAGATCATCAGCGATGTCATTAATCGCCACTGCAAAGAGAGCCACACTAAGCACCCCGCCCTGGGGAACTCCGTTCTCTAGAGTAAAACTGCTCGAAAGACTACTGCCAACTCGGACTTTGAACCGACGACCCGATAAAAAGTTCTTAATAAAGAGGCCCATCCGGCCGCGTATGCCGTACTTGTGTACTTTGGAAAGTATTCTGTGTCGTAACACTGTATCATAGGCCGCCTCAATATCAAAGAACAGTGCTCCAAGGTGCTTCTTTTCAGTAAAACAGGTGCGTATCTCGGTGTCGAGGGCTAAAATGTGGTCAACAGGGCTGCGGTGCTTTCTAAAACCGCACTGGGCGTTTGTAAAAACACCGTGATGTTCCAAAAACCAGCTAAGACGCACATTGACCATCTTCTCCATCAGCTTTGAAAGCGATGATGTGAGAGAGATGGGCCGATAGTGGAGAGGGTCATGTCCCGACTTGCCAGCCTTCAAGATAGGAATGATAGTGGCTTCCCGCCAGGTCTCAGGGAAAGTGCCAGTCTCCCACAGCGAATTGAAAGTTGCTAGCAGCGCCTCGAGGGCAACCGCCGGGAGATGACGGAGCATGTCGTTGTGGACAGCATCCGGACCTTCTGAGACGCTGCGCAACGAGCTGATGGCAGACGTGAGCTCAGCCATAGAGAAAGGCTCGTTGTACACCAAATTTTCAGCTGTGCTGAAGTCCACGGCGGCTGGTGCAGGTCGTGAGGACGGCTCTCCTCGGCAGCGCTGATAGAGTGCACGGCCTATCGTCTCTGCGACGTCTAAAGGGTGGGATATGTCCGTGTTGTTCACTCTTAAAACCGGAAGCGGAACAGAGCTGAACCGGCCTTCAATGCGCTTCATGCGTGCCCATATCTGGGTCGTAGGAGTAAAACGGTTTAAGGAACTCACGTACGTGCGCCATGAAACAGCCTTTGCCTCTTTTAAAACGCGACGGGCAAAAGCCCGCGCTTTCTTAAAAGCGATGAGGTTCTCAGTAGTACTGCTCCGGTCAAACTTTCTAAAAGCGCGCTTCCTGGCACGAATCGCATCTCCGCATTCCTTGGTCCACCACGGGACCGGAGGACGACGAGGCTGACTCGACGTCTTGGGTATGCACCCGTTTGCGGAGTCACTGAGTAAACATGTAAAATCCTCTGTAGACATCACAGAGGCGTCGGCTCTGGATAAAACCGTGGCCTCTACGGCGGCCTGGAATTCGCCCCAGTCGGCCTTCCGAACATTCCACCTGGGTGGACGGTTGCCTGACACTGGGGTCTCCTGGTGCTCCAGCCACACTGGGAAGTGGTCGCTCCCGAGTGGGTCGTCATGGACGGACCAGGTAAAAAGCTGAGCTAGCCGCGGACTGACTAAGCTCAGGTCCAGAGCCGATGTTTGACCGGAGGGTGTTGTAAAATGGGTGCGCTGTCCTGTATTTAAAATACACAGCGCCTCATCGCGGATAAAAGATTCTAAAAGTCGACCACGAGTGCCAGTCGTGTCGCATCCCCACGCCAGGCTATGGGCATTAAAATCGCCGACTACCAGGACCGGAGGTGGAAGCTCATCGACAAGTCGATGCAGCTCAACCACCGGGAGCGCTATACCTGGTGGAAGGTATAAAGAACAAACTGTCAGCTCCCGGTGGTTGAAATCAACTCTAGCGGCTACCGCCTGCAGAGGAGTCTGCAGCGGAACCTGACGTGCGGGCACACTGTGGTGCACTGCCAAAAGTACACCTCCATGGGCAATGGTCGGGGTGTCTAAGTCTCTTCTAAAAACAGAGTAACCCTTGATGGCAAAGGTAACGTTTGGCGCTAGCTTGGTCTCCTGGAGACCTAAAACAAGGGGTGTGCGCCAACGGATAAGAGACTGTAGGTCCTGGTAGTTGGCCCGGAGGCCTCTACAGTTCCACTGTAGAATAAAAGGCGTGGTTAAAAAGGCGCAAAAAGGGCGCGTATAACATGAGGCAAAGGCGCACGCAGATACCTGACTGGCCACAAAAAAGGTAAAAAACACCGAGAGAAACGCACCTGGTAAAAAAGCGCAATAGCGCGAAAAAGATAAAAGGATAAAAGAGGAAATGACTAGAGTAAATGACTAGACTAAGTCCTCTTTTTCCAAAGAGGCGCTCCCCCCGTAGCGGATACGGGGGTGCCCCGAGCCCTCTCGGTGGAGTCTGCCTTCTGCGGAGGCAGATCGGGCGTGACTCAAGCCCTGCTGGGGCTTTTTCGCCCGAGGAGCGTCACCCTCCGAGGGCGACCAGCTCGGGGGCGTCTGCCGTTTGGCAAGGCGCCCCGGAGCAGCAGGGGGCTGAGGCTGCCCCGACGGGGATGTCGGGGCGGCGGCCTGTGTCCTTGACACAGGTGTGTCTGGCAGCGACGGCGGAGGCCGCCGCTGCTGCGACAGCGAGGGAGGGGGCGGGGGACCCATGATGGGCCGAGTCCCCGCCTGAGGGGTCTCCGGGGTGTCAGCGGCGACAGCCGCATTGGCACTCCCGGAGGCGGAGGCGGCAACAGAGGCCTCCTTAGCCTCGATGGCCTTTTGAACGAGGCGAGCCCTCCTCGCCTCTCGTGCCCTCCTCTCCTCCTCTCCCCGCCGCAGAGCCTCCTGCACCGCCGTGGGCGGTCGGGGGCGGGGCGGGGTGGATGGCGCCTTACCCTGCGCCGGGGGGCGCCGACCACCCTGTCGGCGCTGGACGACGGTCCAATCGTCTCCTTCACCGCTCGCAGCTGGAGCGGGACTGGGTGGACCCCACACTGACTCTTGAGCAGTCTGCTCTGTGTCACTCGGCGGCGCACCAGGCGCCGAAGAGACCACGGAGTCACCAGTGGCTACGACAGTGAGGCCAAATCTTTTGAGAAGCTGCACGAGCTGTGCCACGCTCATCTGGGAGGCATCGGTAGCGTTTGTCACTTTCACCTTCTGGGCATACGAGGTCTTCGGGTGATTTTGGTTATATACCTCCCGGGCCTCTTTGAATGACAGATTCCTGGTAGCCTTGATGGTGTTAATCTCCTTCTCCTTGACGTATGTAGGGCAGGACCTGTCATACGCGGAGTGCGGTTTCTGCCCTTCTCCGCAGTTGACGCATCGAGGGGTCTCCGAGTCGCACGTATCGTCAGTGTGGTCCTGAGAAGCGCACTTGGAGCATGTGGGTCTACCCCGGCAGTTGTCCTTCGTGTGGCCGAACCTCTGGCACCGATAGCAGCGCATGGGTGCCGGGACGTATGGGCGCACGCGGACCTTGATGTACCCCACACGGACCTCGTTCGGCATGTCGGTGGTGTCAAATGTCAGAATGATGTTATTTGTCGGGACCGTGCCTCTCTTCGTCATGATGCGGCGAGCCGCTGTCACGCCGAAATCGGCGAGCCCGTCCGCAATGTCCTCGTCGCTCACTCCCCTCAGGTCGAAACAGTTAATGACCCCTCGTGAGGAGTTCTTAGAGCGGTGGGGCTCCACTGTAAGCGGGATGGAGACGAGCCTCCGGCCGGATGCCCGTCCCTCGGAGAATACGAAGCGAGTAGCGTCCAACGCTTTCGCCGCCTCCTCGCTTTTCCTGAATTCGACCTCCAGCGCGCCATCACGCATCCGGTCACAACGAACGATCGAACCAAACCGGTCGCAGCCATCCTTCCGCTGGAAGGGCGTCAAGGAGCTCAGCTCCCTGTCGGCGCTCCGGAAGATGAGGATTTTTGGATTTTTCGGTCTTGGATCGTGCACCGTTCGCCCGTCGGCCGAGGCCGGCGGGCGAGAATCGGCCGAAGCCGAGGGATTGGTGAGAGAGGGGGAGGAGGGGTTGGTCTGGTTATCCATGTGAGTCTGTTGGTCTCCGCCAGCTCGGCCGCCGACGCTCCGCAACGGCGCCGCTACAAGGCCTAGGACGGCCGAGCTGACTGTACGGGACTTGGCGGCACCTTCCGCGGGGGAGAGAGAGACTCACCACCCCCCACGGTCGGATACCGCCTCCTCCCTTGACGCCTCGCCGAGTCACCGCCAGGGGCAGCGACAGATCAGTCCCACCGACGGAGGACGAGCACAAGTGCCCGAACCCCGCCGGCGACACCTCTCCGACACCACCCCCGGCTGCATCACGACTGGGAATGGCTCCTCAAGTGCGGCGCCCCACTGAGTGTCCCGCCCTTACAGAACTCAGGGCCAAAGAGGCGTGTTGCCCAGCCACCGCGACTGGCTCCGCACGGTGGGGGGCTCAACCTCCAGGATCCCGTTGTCCTGGGGTACGGGTCGGCTCGCCTAGCCTAGTAAAACCGGCTGGTACCCGAGGGGACGCCACTCCCCTTACACTAGCCCAACTCGGCTGTGTTCCTGCGGGTGCAAAAACAACGAAAAAGGTAGGAAAAGAATCAGAAAGCTGTGATCGAACGAAACGCGGACATCCGGTGAGAAGCAAAGCAAAAGCAAACAAAGACCGCTCAGGAGAAACAAAACCACGAAAAACCAAGAAAAGTCGGACCGTACCATCTGTCCATCCAGCGATCAAAGCAAGTCATAAGCAAGCATGGGTCAAGCTGGGGCCGAGGGGGCGCTACTCCCCTTGCTAGCCGAGGCCAGGGCCGCCGCGGGGCAAAGGCCCAAGGAACCCAGTCCAACAGCGACCCCGGCCACTGCCAACCCCCTGCGGGGCCAATCCTGCAGACAATCCATCCAGTAAGCAAGGCAAGTCCAGGTCAAAACGCGCGTCAAGCTGGGGCCGAGGGGGCGCTACTCCCCTTACTGGCCGAAGTCACAGCCGCCGCACAGCCGGAGCCAGATGACCCCGGCTAAGCAGCAGCTCTGACCACGGTCAGCCCCCTGCGGGGCATCTAAAGCCGCTATTTTGACTATTTTCGACCCCTGTGACGGCTGAGTCAACCTCCAAAATGCTTCAAATGCGTCGTAGGACACACGCCATTGCTGAATGTGAAGCTGACTCGTCCATAACAAAAATCAGGGCCTCAAACTAACACCGGCCAAATTGCCCCACACCCCCGGCCAAATAACCCTGATAGTGGGGCAATTTGGCCGCTTTGCAGACCTTTGTAATACGTCACAATTTCAATATAAGTAGTTAATCTATCATTTCAAGTTTACTGTTCAAGAAAGTAAAATGAATGCCACACCTGTCAGCGTTGAGAAAATGCAGAAATGTGTTGTCGATTTTTAGTTACATCGTTTTCTAAAAAAAAGCGGCCAAATTACCCCACTCTCCCCTACTCAGCGAATCATGAGACCATTTATGTCGACAAAAGTAACCGAACTGAGCCCGCACACCCGGTGGAAAACTCTCCACACATTCCTCACATCCCACGCGCCGCCGCAGCCGTACCTGCGTGAGCTCGTTGTCGGACGGCTTTCGGTACTTGCTGGGCGGTTGGACGGCGTCCGTCCAGTCGCGGTACTTGATGTTCTTGAAGCGTTTGCCGGCGGGCTCCTTGGTGTCGCTGGCGGCGCCGGCCGACGAGCCGCCCGACTCGTGCCGGGACAGCTGCCGGTCGCCGCGGCCGCTCAGCAGCTCCTTCGTGAACGGCTGAGGGGCGGAGCGGAGGGGGAGGGGTTAGTGAACGGCTGAGGAGGGGCGGGGTGTCAGTGGACTGTTAGTGGGTGGCGGGGTATCGAAGGACCGGCGCTGGGTGGCGAATCATACATGACGGGGCTCACTGTATATTTCATACAATGACGATTAACTGCACCCCCGGGTGCGCGCTGAGAATCAGCTTTATTGCGCCTAAATCAGCCGATAATCACGTTCTGTGTACCCTGATGACCATCAGAGACCTCTCCCACCTCAACCCTGACCCTCTCCCCTCCTTGATCCAATGTCGGCACACTCACGTCGTCCCCGTTGGTGAACATGTCTCGCCCGGTGTGTCCGACCACGGCTCCGGCGCCCCCCCCCCCCCCTACCCTAACTGACTCTCCCCTCCCCTGATCCAATGTCGGCCCACTCACGTCGTCTCCGTTGGTGAACATGTCTCGTCCGGTGTGTCCGACCACGGCGCCGGCGCGACGCTCGGCCGCCGCCGCCGGCGTCAGCTGACTGCCGCAGAACTGGCTGAAACACGACTGGCCGCAAAAGTGCAGCTCGTCGGCCAGCTGGTCGGCGTCGCGCACCACGGGCAGCTCCGACTTGGCCTTGCTGATGCTGCCGCTGTCGTTGAGGATGACCACCTCGCAGTACTGGCAGAAGCGCGCCGTGCCGTTCAGGATCTCCTGGATGTCCACCACTGCCGGGGAGAGGCCGGGGTAAGAGCACTGAACTACAGCTGCATATGGAGGCAATATTCGAGCCAAATAGTCTCCGTGATTTTTGTTAACGCTTAGCCATAAAAGATATTGTGAGCTTATTGAGTGTGAATGGGTGCCTCGTTTTACTGATCGCTGGCCCCTCACGCTCCGTCACCCCAGCGCGCCGGTCCACCACGTACCCTGATCTCGTCCGTCCTTGCCGCGCGCCTGCCGGTACAGGCCGAGCCGCTGGCTGGGCGGAGTGCCGGTCCGCTCTATGACCTGGTAGCCGGATGGCGGCGAGATGTTGAGCAGCGAGGCCAGGCTGCGCAGCACGGCGCCCACGTCCTGCGCCTTCTCTGAGGTCAGTGTCAGCGTCACCGTCACCTGACCAGCGCCCCGCGCCGGCCGCACTGGCGACTCGATACCCAGGTGGGACTTGAGCTGCGTCTCCTTGTTCTCCTTGTCCTGCGGCAAGCGCGGGGGAGGACGGGGGAGAAAAGTCAAAGTCTGCGGCAGCATTAAGTGCAGTCACGTATGTTTGGAAATCATGTGAAGGGTTGCAAACGCCGCTAATCTTGAACTGGACGTTTGCATTTCAACTACATAGTTGAGCGTCAAGCTCTCAAATTTATCTAGCATGAGGCAAGTGAACACGAAAAGACTGCACCAAGACTATAACAAATAGTGCCAAGCGCTGTAGCAATCCCGAATTAACATCCAGACCCCGGGCCTCCCTTTCACATATATATCATCTCCCTCCCAGTGCCCGGTCCCACCTCCAGCCCCGCTCCGGCCACTGACCATGCCGTTGAGGTGGCTGAGCGAGACGCCGGGCCGCGCTCGGACCGGCACGGGCGCGATGAGCGGGATGTCCGGTGAGTTGCAGCGGCTCCTGTCGGCCGGGTCCGGCCAGTCGTCCTCGATCAGACGCAGGCCTGAGGCGTCGGGAGAGGGGCGGTCAGTGGGGAGAGCGACGATAAGCGGGGAGGGGCGAAATACAGTCAGGTAACCGTGCCCAAACGTCAAACAGGCGATGAAAGGCAGAAGGAAACAGTAAGCTTGGAATGGCAGTGATGAATGTAGTTGAGCTTAGATCAAGGTCCAGTATCTTCCTGTTAGCCAATCGGACAAAATTTCATTCAGGAAATGTATGATGGACGAGGAATGGTCAATATATGAGATGAAGTCATTTACGGGTCTCGCGGGCACTGATTCGGTGTTGACTGCTACTCACAGCTGTCGTGCAGGTCGGCCAGGTCGGCCGGGAGCTCGGCAGACAGGAGCGCCGGCGGCCGGCCCGCCTCCCCGGCCGCCGGCCCAGGACCAGGATGGGGGCACAGGTCGGCTGGTGCCGCCGGGTGGGCCGGCCAGGAGCCGCCCGGTGCCGCCGGAGCCGCCGCCCCGGCCGCCGGCGGGCCCTGGTACAGCACAGGAGCTGCACCGGACGGCGGAGGAGGGTACGGCGGCGGGTACCGGCCGGCCGCGCACGGCTGCCGGCCGGGGTACGGACCGGGTACCGCCGCCGGGCACCCCGCCTGCGGTACAGAGGAGCTGGCCACGCGCCGGGAAGGCTGCGGCGGCGCCCGGTACTGCGACACTGGCATCCCGGACTGGTAGAGCCGCGGCGCCGGCGGCTGGTAGCCGGGCGCGGCCGCCATCGGGTGGGAGCGCGGCACAGCGCCCTGGTGGGCAGCGGAGGGCAGCCGGCAGCCCGGCGCGCCCCACGGCGCGTGGTGGCCGGGAGGAGGCGCCGGCTGAGGGGCCAGATGGGGCAGCGGCTGCTGGTGATGGCGGTGGTGCTGGTGGTGCTGATGCTGGTGGTGGTGCTGAAGATACTGGTGCTGCTGGTGGCGGTGCTGGTGAAGCAGCTGCTGGTGCTGTCCGTGCGGCTGGTGCGGCGGCAGCGGCTGGTGCTGGTAGGAAGGTATCAGGGATCGTCGGAGCGCGGCCGGGTCCTGCAGGCGCGACTGCAGCTCCGACAGGGCGTGCTGCTGCTGCTGCCCGGGCCGGGCCCCGGCGCCGGCCGGCCCGCGGTCGCGCGGCGCCAGCAGCGCCAGCAGCCGGTCCAGCGCCGCGTTCAGCAGCGGCTCCGGCAGCTGGCGGCCCAGCATCTGCCGCGGGTCGGTCAGCACTCGCTGCAGCAGTAGCAGCTGCAGCTGACTGGGCGTCTCGCCGCTGAAGAGGGTCTGCAGCGCGGCCACCACCACGGCTGGCTCGGCGCCGCCGGAGCAGGCCGCCGGACAGCGGCGCCGCCACATAAGTCGCTGGTCGAGCGGGCCCAGCGGCAGCCAGCGGCCGTCCGCGTCCAGCTGGTTCCCGGCCGGCCGCGGCGGCGGTCCGTACAGCGCCTGCGCCAGGCACGAGCGGCACCGGCAGACGCGCCGCTGCCGGGAGCCGCGGCCGCGCCCCCTGGCCGGGGTGCCGGGCCGGTGTCCGCCGCCGCGGCCCCGGCCGTACGGCCTCAGCGGCTGCGAGGGGCCGGCCGGGCGGCCCGGGCCGCGCTGAGGGCCGATGAACACCCGAGTGAAGTTGCGCCCGCTCTGGCTGGGCCGCACTGGCAGCGAGGATGGTCCGAGCATCTGCAGTCGCGGCCGGCCGTCGGTGGCGCGGCGCCCCGGCCCGGCCAGCGGCGGCCCGCGCGCGGCCGACAGCGGCGGCTGGGACGGCGGCCGCGGGAGGCAGCCGGGTGGCGGAGCCCGAGGCACCAGCTGCTGCTGCTGATGTGGGTTCACAGCAGATTGGTCCCGCTGTTGCGGCACCGGCGGCTCCACCATCAGTGCTGGCCCGGGAGCCGCTATACAACCCCGCGATGGCGCAGGTGTTTGCGATAGAGTCTGTGGGTGTGTTTGTGTCTGTGTCGCCGTGGTTGTCAGCGTCTGTGTCTGGTTGTGCGTCCTTGGCTGTGTCGGCGTCGGTGTTTGCATCTGCGTATGTGTATGTGTCTGTGTCTGTGTTGGTGTCTGAATCGACGTCAGTGTCTGCGTCAGTGTTTGTGTCAGCGCCTCAGTCAACATCATCGTCTGTGTTTGCGCAGGAGACTGAACTGAAGTGACGCTCGCAGTTGGAGTCGGAGTTGGGGCTGAAGTCGGTGTTTGAATCGGCGTTGGAGTCTGAGCTGAAGTCGATGATGGGGTTGAAGTTATCAAAGTTGAGACTGACGTCTTCGCCTCTGCCGATGCCGGGCCGGCGGCCTGTGAGCCCTCAGCCGCCGACGCCGGGGTGGCAGTCTGAGATGTCCCGGCCGCTGACACTGCCGTCTCCGCGCGCGGCGCCGGCGGTATGACGCGGATGCGGATGATATTGGGCGGCGGCCGGTCCGGCTGCGACTGCTGGTGCACGATCAGCCGGCCGCCGACGATCGACGCGGCGCTGTCCAGGCCGCCGCCGACGGGCGCGCCGGCGCGCGTCGGCCGCACCGAGCCCGTCACGGCCGCCGCCGACACGGAGCTATTCACGATCAGCAGGCGCTGCGAGTCCGCCTGGCGGGCGGCCGCCGCCTCTGCACCCGACACCGGCGGCCGCGGCTCAGTGTCCCCCTGCGGCGCCCCGGCCGCCGCCCCCGCCGGTAGCGTCTGCTGCGGCTGCCCGGCCGTGTCCGCGGGCTCGCCCTCCGGCTCCAGGTCGATCAGCGGCGGCTCCACGGAGGCCGGGGTGGCCGGCTGAGTGCTGGAGGCCGGGGTGGCCGGCTGAGTGCTGGAGGCCGGGGTGGCCGGCTGAGTGCTGGCAGCCGAGTGGACGCGACTGTGCTGCTCCAGGAACTCGATAAACTCGTCATCCGCCGGCGGGTGGTGCGCGGCCGGCGCCGGCCGGTCGGCGGCGCGCGCTGGAGACTCCCCAGCCGAGGTCAGGTCAGAGGAGCTGCCCAGCTCGGGCACTAGGTCGATCAGACTCCACGGCGCCGCCGCCGGACTCGAGTGAGCTGACGCCGCCGCCGCCGCGAGCTTCACAGGGGTCGGCGCCGTCGACTCCGGCGCCGGAGTCTCATCTGCCGGCTGGGGCGATGTAGGCGGTGCCTTCTCCACAGGTTTCTCTGCTTCAGTCGCCATCGTGCCCTCAGATACATCCACGGCCTCCGCAGATGCAATCTCGTACGTTTCCACCACCGGTTGGGGCGGTGCCTTCGCTACCGGTTTATCAGACGTCTCCTCTATAATATCCACCACCTCCACAGAGCTATAATTAGCCTTCTTTGCCGTTCTCTCCCCGCTCTGAGCTGCTGCCCTCTGAGACCGGCCGGCCGTCTCGGCGCGATGGGTGGTCTCCGCGGCCGGCGGCGGCGGCCCCGTGCGCCCCAGTTCGACCGAGCCTCCGGGCACCTCCACCTCCTCGGCTACGTCGGGCGCGCCGAGCGCCGTCGAGCCCAGCGCAGAGATGGCCACCTTGGCCGGCGGCAGCAGCGCGGCGCCGGCGGCCCGCACCATCGCCTCCGCGTCACCGCCCTCGTCCCCACTGTCCACAGTGTACACGGCCGGGGCGGGCCGGGCGGCCGGGCAGCCCCTGCCGAGCAGCCCCGGACGCACCACGGCCGCCGACTCGCAGTCCTGGAACACCACGATCGGCGACGGTGCGGCGGCGGCGCGGCGGACGGCCGGCGGCCGGCCCAGCGCCGCCGTCTGACTGTAGTTGTGGTCGAGCTGCTGCGGCGAGGATCGGTGGCGCCCCAGCACGGAGGACTCGCCGCCCGGCTCCGGGGAGGAACAGGACTCGGTGGCCGAGTCGTCCTCGGAGGAACACGGCGTGATGGAGGAGGAGTAGCAGGCGGGGTAGGGCAGCCAGCCGCGGCGGCCGCCACCTGGGACAGAGCGGGGAGCAGGATAGAGGGAGGGAGGAGTAGCAGGCGGGGTAGGGCAGCCAGCCGCGGCGGCCGCCACCTGGGATAGAGCGGGGAGCGGGATAGAGGGAGGGAGGGAGAGAGGGAGGGTGGGATGGGGAGAGAGGGAAGAATGGAAGAAGGGAGGGAAGGAACAGGTACACCGCGGCGAGAACTACACTCTGCACCAGCGTAAGAGCACAGGATATTACGGGCGGGCAACAGTCCGTAGGATAGCGAACTCAAATAGCAAAACACTTAGGAACTGCGATTAACACCTCACTCCGATGAACTGTATACCTAGAGCCTAATCAAACACGATAGTCCGTCGGGCACGAAGCCTTCCCGACGGAGACATAACAGACTACCTCACGTTTCACCCCATGCAATGAAGTCTCCCATTATCCACTCCATACACTAGTCACGCTCCAGACGCTGTCAATATCACCCAGCGACTGTCATCAGACGCGGTATGTGAGGGCGGGTGACCATCCGTACCTGGGTAGCGGTAGCTGCAGTCGGGCGCCACCGTCTCCGGCGACGAGCTGCTGACCACCGTGTCCGGAGAGTCGGCGTCGCGAGCCGGGGTGCCGGCGCTGTCCCGTCGGCCGCGGCGGCACGGGACTGCGGGGGAGGGAGGGAGAAGGTCAGTCGGCGCCGCGCGCCGGGGTGCCGGCGCTGTCCCGTCGGCCGCGACGGCAAGGAACTGGGGGAGGGGGAGGGGGCGGGACAGGTCGTCAGCTGGGCGGCACATACAGCAACACCGGCGGCAGCAGTCAGTACACACACACCGGGCGAGCTCACCAGCAAACTGGCGTCAAAGGCGATGGATTAAATTTAGAACGACCACCTCAATCAAACAGTTTAAAATGAGAAATAAACACCTGAAGTTCAATCATCGGCAATTGCTAGCAACTCCCGTGAAGACCATCACGAGCCATGTGAGTGCCGCGGATGGCCGAGTACAGCTGACGAGCCCTCTCCATCCAGCTCCAGCCTCTCATATCCATCTCGCCCTATGTCTAGTACCATCTTCATTCCCTCCCATAACAGTCGGTCCGACTCACTGATGTCGTCCTTGTTTCCGAACTCCTGCTGGTAGAAGCCCAGGATGGTCCTGCCGAGCGTGTGCTGGGTGGGCCGCGGCTGCCGGTCGCCGAACGGCTGCCGGCTGTAGTAGTCGCCGGCGCCGGCCGCCGTCTCCAGGGTGTCTCCGTCGCGCGCCACCAATTCGCCCAGCTGCGGCCGGTAGCCGGGATGGCCCAGCCGGCTGGCGTGCGGCCCGGCGCCGGGCGCGCTCACCACGCCCAGACAGGCGGGCACCGGCGGCTCCTGGACGGCCAGCGCCGGCAGGGAGCCCAGCTGGTGCATCAGACCCTCCAGGAACGCGTCGTAGTCCTCCTCCAGCTTGGAGCCCTGCCGAGCCGAGCGTGCGGGAGTGGTCAGCGGGGGGCACGAGAGGGGACACTGCATGCACTGCGCAAATCAGCTCACTATCAAAGTCGTCAGTAACGTGAAACGTCAACAATGGTTAGAACACTGATATGACAGCGTCACTTGTGTCCTGATGAGCTACACTGGCGCACCTTTCGGGTCCGTTTCTTGGCGCCGCCGCCGTCCTTGCCCTGCGACTGGCGCCTCTTTTGCTGATACTGACGCCGCTTCTGCTTCTTCAGCTCCTCAGCCTCGCGGGCCCGCTGCAGGACTGGGGAGGGAGGGGCGCATCAGGTCAACACACGGGTGCGCATTGCGACAGCGGAATGCGACAGGTGTACGACATCCGCGGGTAGGGTGACCAAATTATATCTGAATTGCTAGTAAAGAAAAGAACAATGCATTGTAAAACTAACAAATGAAACTACCGCAGCCTGGTGTACCCCGGTGTCCCTGTAGGCACTGCGGTACTGTACCTCTGTATCTGTACACTGCACTCACCATCCGGAGGCAGTGAGACGGAGCTGGTCGGTGTGATGACCGAGCTGCACGGCTGGCCGGCCTCCCCCGCCGGCGGTGTCTGCGGTGTGCGCGCGCCGTCCCGGGCCGCCGCCAGGCCGGCCGACGGCGGCCGTCCCGCCTGCGGGCCGGTCGGAACGGGCGAGGATGAGGCGGAGGACACGGCGGACGCCAGGGCGAACGCCGAGGTCGGGGTCGGGGTGGAGGTCGGGGTGGAGGTGGCCGCTGGAGCGGCCGCGGTCGGGGTCGGGGTCAGGGAAGGGGACGGGGAGGGCGACGGGGAGCCGGTGGGGACCGGGGAGGAGTGGGTCAGCGGGGAGGCCGCCGCGACTCCGGTGACGGCGGTGGGCGCAGACAGCGGCGCGCCGGCGGGCCGCAGCACGGCCAGGGAGCCGGGCCGCGCCGCCAGCAGGCTGCCCACAGAGACGGTCTGCGGCCGCGCGCCGGCCGCCTCCTGGCCGGGCGGCCGCGCCAGCGCCGCCGGCACCTGCAGCGGCTTGGGCGGCTGCGGCTGCTGGCGCGCGATCGGCGAGATGGTCGAGCCGCCGGACGCCTGTTTGGCGGTCAGCTGGCCGGCCACGGACGGCGTCAGCACAAACTGGTGCGCACCGCCCGGCTGGCCCGCCGTCGTGGCGCAGCCGGCGTTCTGCAGCAGCTTCTTGAGCAGCACGTTCTCCTGGCGCCCGGCCGGCGGCGGCGGCTGCTCCGGGGCGGTGTCAGAGACCGCCGGTCTGGCGCCGGCAGACTCGGCTGTGGTCGTCTCCGCGGCGCCGCGGGCTGGGGCGGCAGTATGAGAGGTGGCCGGGCCTCCAGACGCCGAGGAGAGCACCGTGCCACCGGTCATGTGGTGCTGCTGCTGATGGATGGACAGGCCGCTGACGGGCGGCGGGTCGACGCCAGCTGCCCCGCTCTCGGCGCCGGCGGCCACCGGGCGGCGTCCGTACACGCTCACCAGCTGGGTGGCGGCGCCGGCCGCGCCCGCGCCGCCCGAGGACACGGCGCCGGCCAGCGGGCGCGCCACGGCCGCCGTGGCCGCGCTCTCGAGCAGCGCGCCGATCCGCGCCGCGTTCGAGATGCCCGCGCCGGGAATACCGATCATGGCCTGGTGCACGCTGCTGGGCGGCACCTCAGAGAGCCGCGAGGTGGGCAGCTGCGGCACCGGCGCAGACGTCGCCAGGGAGCTGACCGCTGAGGCAGTGGCCACGGCCGCAGCCGCGGCCGAGGACGCCAGGGACGGCGTCACCAGCGACGGCGCGGCGATCTGAGAGGTGTTGGCAGAGACGGCGGCCATCAGACCGGCGGCGGACGAGACCGGGGACTCTCCGGCGGCCGTGGAGGCCACCAGCGCCGTGTTGGCCGCCACCGCCGCCGTCAGCGAGGCCGCCGCCAGCACCGGGGCGGCGCATGCAGACACCGCCGCCGCCGGGACGGGACGCGGGGCAGTCGTCAGCGCCGACACCGTGCCGCTCGACATGACGACGGGCGCCACCCGCGGTCCGTCCGGGCCCGGCGTCAGGATCACCGTCTGTGACAGAGTAGAGGGCGCAGACAGCAGGGTTAGAGCTGAGACCGCGGCGGCCGACAGAGGAGCCGCAGTTCCAGAGGACGCAGCACTGGGCGCCGCACCGGCTGACTGGACCGGAGTCGGAGCCGGAGTCTGAGTCGGAGCCGGAGTCTGAGTCTGAGTCTGAGTCTGAGTCTGAGTCTGAGTCTGAGTCGGAGTCGGAGTCGGCGCCGAGGACGGAGCCGGAGTCGATGCAGAGTCTCCCGTAGATGCCGGAGCCGCAGCGGCAGTCCCACTAGAGGTAGGTACTTCCGTCACAGCCGCTGATGAAGTCGGGGCCGGGGCTGAGCTCTGTGCAGGCGCAGGGGCCGTCGTCTCGCCGCCCGGCGCGGCTGTAACGGTCGTGGTCTGGGCAGCGGACGCCGGGGCCTCAGCCGCGGGAGCAGAGGAGGCCGCCGGCGCCGGAATGCCACTGGAGACCGGCGGCTGCGCGCTGTCGGCAGCCGCAGCCGGAGTGGCGCTCTGTGCGCCCGACGACACGGCAGAGTCGGTGGCGGCAGCCGTGGGTGTACTTGAAGTATCAGTCGATACAGACGGTGTCGTCGAGGCTGCATCAGCAGCTGTCGTAGCCGGAGTTTCCACAGAGCCGGCTTCAGTGGAGGTCGGTGTCGGAGTCGGGTTTGGTGTTGGCGTCGGGGTCATTGTGGGCGTGCCGCCCTTCAGACCGAGTTTCCACCAGCCGGGAGGGCGGCCCCTCAGGGCGCGCATCAGGTCCGGGTTCGCTCCGCCGCGCAGTCCCATCGGAAAGTGGCCGAACCGTCCGAACGAGCGTCCCGGCGGCAGGGGAGCCACGGCGGCTCCCGCGGCACCGCCGCCGCCGTTCCCTCCGGCCGGTCCGCCGGCAGCCCCTCCGTTACCGCCGGCAGCTCCGGCCGGGGCCGGGGCCGGCTGGGCGGCCGGCGCGGCCGGCGGGCCGGCCCCGCCCGCGGCCGGCTGCGGCGCCGGGCTGGCCGGCGGCACGGCCGAGCCAGGAGTGGACGGCTGCCGCGGCGACGAGCCGTGCGGGGTGGCCGGCGCCGGCGTGCCCGGGTGGCTGCCCGGCTGCGGCGTGGCCGGGTTACTGCCCGGCTGGGCCATCTGCGGCACACTGGGCGGCCGCTGCTGCAGCGGCTGCTGCTGCGGCTGCTGCATCTGATGCTGTTGCTGTTGCATGTGCTGTTGCTGTTGCTGTATCTGGTGATGCTGCGGATGCTGAACTTGCTGTTGCTGGTGTTGCTGATGATGCATTTGTTGTTGCTGCTGCTGCATTTGCTGCTGGTGTTGCGGGGACGGCGGCAGCCTGGGCATTTGTCGGGCCATCTGCTGCTGCTGGAGTCTCTGCTGGTGGAGCAACTGCTGCTGCAGTTGCGGCTGCTGCTGCTGCTGTCTCTGCTGCATCAGCTGCTGGTGGTGCTGCTGCTGCACCTGCCGGATCATCATGGGCTGCTGGTGCATCTGCCCGGGCTGCTGGTCGGCCGCCGGCTGGCCCAGCTGCTGCTGTTGAATGTGCTGCTGGTGCAGGTGCAGCTGGCCAGGGTTCTGGCGCATCATCTGCTGCTGCTGCAGCCGCTGCTGGATGATGTGCTGCGGGATCTGCTGGTGCATCCGTATCTGTTGCTGCGGCTGCTGCTGCGGCGACCGCACGCGGTACTGCACCTGCTGGCCCGGCTGCGGGTAGCGCTGCGGCGGCTGCTGGCCGGGCGCCGCCTGTTGCTGGGCCTGCTGGTGCTGCTGCTGCTGGATGTAGTACTGCTGCTGCTCGTGCCCCGGGGACGGCGCCGGCCGCGGACTCTGCGGGGTGCGCGGAGACATGATCTGTCCGGGAGTCGGCGGGCCGCCGCTCCTCACATACTGCTGCTGTTGTTGCGCTTGCTGTTGTTGCTGTGCTTGTTGTTGCTGCTGCTGCTGTTGCTGCTGCATGTAGAACTGCTCGTGGCCGGGCGACTGCACCGGGTGCGGACTCTGAGGCGGACGCGGAGACATGATCTGCTGCTGCGTCGGAGTCTGCGGCCCGCTGCCGCCGCCGTACCTCTGCTGCTGCTGCTGCTGCTGCTGCTGGGAAGTTGGCACGTGCTGCTGCTGCTGTTGCTGCGGCTGCGAGGTCGCCGCCTGCTGCTGCGGGTTCTGCTGCTGCTGCTGCAGGTAGTACTGCTCGCCGCCGGGCGAGGGCACCGGCCGCGGCGACTGGGCCGGGCGCGGGCTGGCCACGGGCGTCTGCTGGCTCTGGCCGGGCGTGTGCGGACTCTGCGGGTGCGGCGCGCCGCCCGGACTGCACGCCATCTGGGCCGGCGACATCAGCGGACTCGGCTGCGGGCTGGTGACGAACGGCGACGGCGACATCACCTGCTGGCAGTGCGGGCTGGCCAGCGCGCCGCCCGACGGCCGCCGGATCTGCTGCGGACTCGGCGTGCGCGCGCCCGGCTGCGGGCCGCGCAGCGGCGGCCGCACCAGCGCCATCGGCGCCCGCGGCCCGGCCGGGAAGCGCTGCAGCAGTACCGGGTGCAGCCGCGCCTCCTGCGGACTGCTGTGCGGCGAGAACGGGCCGCCCTCCAGCGGCGAGGCCGGCGGACGCAGGCTCGGCGACATGCGCGGGCCCGGGCTGGCCAGCGGCGACTGGGAAGGCGACGACGGCGGCACCATGGGCGAGCGCGGCGGCCCGGGCAGCCGCGGCGACGGCATCCGGGCCATGCTGGCCATGGCGGCTCCGGCCGACTGCACCACCTGGCCGCCCACTGCGCCCGGCACCGCCACCGCGCCCGGCGGCTTCGGCTTCTTGTTACGGTAGTCCTGCAACAGGGAGACGAGCGGCGTCAACGAAAGGAGAGCACGATCACGCCAGCTTCTAAAAAATTCGTTATTACGAAGAGGACGAATCAGCTCCAGCAAGATCATTCTAGCAGATAAGAGCAGCATTGACCTATAAATCTCAGCAACAATAAAACGATAAATATAAGATCAAAAACAAGTCTCCAAATCGCGCATGCAATATCCTTAACTTCATATGAGCTCCTCGCCCTCACTATCGTCTGCAATTTCCCCGGCCTCCACCGACCTCCCCGTTCCGTCTCACCTGGAAGACCATGTTGTGCTGTCGGGAGGCCTTCCGCACGGCCTCGATCTGTTTCTGAATGGCCGCCTGCTCGGAGCAGATGCGGTCAAACTCGGCCGAGTCAACCACGCTCAGCTCCTGGCCGTTCTTGCGCAGCGTGCGCTGTTTGCTGTTGTACGAGCGGCGCTGTTTGCGGTATTTGGTGATCTCCGTTTCCAGGGTTTTCAGCTGGACAGAGTAGACCTGGTGGAGAGTGAGGGCGGATCAGGAAATCGGCGGCACCGAATCGGCAAATAAAACAGAACAGTCATGACTGTGGAATATAACCAGCCCCACAAAGAACAAAAATACGAGCATGTAAGTCATAGAAGCCGACAACCACCCTCCCTGAACTTTGGCCCGGCCTCGCTCCCCTCCAAACCTCCGTCCCGCCGTGTCGGCCGCTCACCTCCTGTTCGTGGATCAGCCACTGTTCGTAGTCGTGCATGACCTTGACCTGCTCGGGCGTCTGCGGGTTGTCGACGGGCGCGGGCGGCGCCGGCGCGTTCTGGACAGTCAGCTGGACGGGTGCCGAGGTGGCGGCGGCGGCCGGCGCGACCGCCGACGGGCCGCCCATCAGGGTCGGGTGCGGCCGCGCCGGGTGCGGCGGGTGCTGCAGCAGCGCTGCACGGGGAGGGAGGAGGACACGGTCAGAAACGTGAAGAAGCGGCTCGGGAATATGGTCAGCTGCACACGGGACAGTGGTCTACAGCAGAGATATAACTGGAAAGTGGAGTGAGAAAATTAGAAAAGGGGAACAAACTATAAGTGACACTCCTATCGAACTGTGATGAAAAAATCCTACCTCAACTCCAAGGTGTAAACCTATGTAAACGCTTAACACTCAAAATGGCATTCCGTCGGAGGCAGCCTCGCCCGTTGAACCCGTCCCTCCCAGCTGACCGTCCCACGGACCTGGGTGCAGTCCGGGGTCGTGCTGCGCCGGCCGGCCCTGCTGCAGTGCCATGGCCGGCCGCTGCTGCAGGCCGCCACCGGGCACCCCCTGGTACAGCTGACCGCCGGCTGACGGGTGGCCGCCCAGCGACGCGCCAGACGTCACCGCGTACTCGGCTGGGGGGGGGGGGCGGGCAGGGTGAGTGTTGGCGGACACGGGGTAGTCGTGATAGTCACCAGTCGGACTGGCGAGGAGTAACGGGTCAGGGGCAGGTGGTAAAGACAGGGGTGGTAAGCGCGGTGGGACAACATACCACGAGAAAGATGACTGGCACAAACAAAAAGGTCAATGACAAGCAAAAGTCAAAACAATGTCAAACAATGTCAAAGTCAAACAATGTTGTGTCAAAATATCACAACGTGAGAAAGCGTTAACGGTAAAAATGGTAGCTAAGGATATGTTGCATATAATCGTGAACCAGCCAGGTCGGCCGTGCCCCAGTACCATCAGCGGTAACGAACGTCGCCCTGACTCACGTCTGGCCATGGCCTGTGGCTGCGGCTGCGGCGGCCCGCCGGCCGCCCCCGCCGCCAGCCCCTCCGGCTTGTACTCGGCGTCGGCAGCCACCTGCTGCGCGTGCAGCTGGTGCGGCGGCTGACCGGCGGCCGGCTGCTGGCGCTGCTGCTCGCGCTTCTCCTCCTCCAGCAGGTCAGCCAGCAGCAGCGGCTGCTCCTGTCCCGCGAGGGGACACAGTCAGACCAGACGCGGGGATACAGTCCACAGAACTGGGCAGACCAGTTTAGAAAGAGAATAGCAACACACAACAGTCACAACCACGTGCACTTGATGATTCAGCTTCCAAACGATGTCGAAAACACACATGCTTGATACAATCCGACAAGATCTTAGGCCATATTCTGATGACCATGCGGCTTATGCGGCAGCCGGCAGCCCACTGTCCCTGCTCAGTATATCAGTGCTGCAGCGTCCCACCTTTCTTATTGCCGTGCCCACCTGCAGCAGGGCCGGTTTGCGCTCGCCGCTCGGCTGGTACGGCGGCGGCACGCGGCCAGGGTACGGCGGCGGACGAACTCCCGAGGCGTAGCCCACCGTGCCGTGCGCCGGCACGCCCATGGTCGGCTGGCCGGGCGGCAGCGGGCGGTGCACCGGGATGGCGCCGTGAGGCGGCGGCCGCGGCGGGCCCGCCGGGTGGCCCACGGCGCCGGCGGCGGCGGCGGCGGGGCCGACCCCGACCTGCTGCTGGGTCATCATCACCGGCCTAACAAACGGGGGAGAGGCAGCCGGGTCAGAGATACGTCGGCAACCAACGGACGGCTATGGATGACAGCACCTCGGTATTAACAGCGAGTGAGATTTTTCTGTCACATTACAAACAAATTCAAGTTTGAACACGTCGTTTATTACAAACAATGTTGCAATAAGCTGACTGGACTAATAACATAATAAGCGAACAATACACAGCTGCCGGCACGCCACTGACGTCTGACCGGGCCCCGATTGCCGGCTCGGCTCCCCACCTGTGCTGCTGCATCCCTCCGGCGGCGCTGACCACTGCGGGCGCGGTGTGGAGCGCCGCTGCCGAGCTGACCGCTGACACCGCTCCGGCCGCGGACACCACTCCCGCGGACACCGCCGCCGCCGCGGACATGCTGGCGCCCGGCCGAAGCCCGGCCGTGGTGGCGGCCGCCGAGCTGACAGACGCCGAGGCTGCGGCGGCTGCGGCTGCGGCAGCTGCGGCGGCCGCGGCGCCGCGCTGCTGCTCCTGCTCCTGCTCCTGCTCCTCACCCACCAGCTCCAGGACAGTCTTGTGCTCCCCCAGCTCCGGGTGAGCGTAGTTCAGCAGGTTAAAGTCGTCCCCGATTCCTGCGAACGAAGCAAGACATGGGTGGTGACTTCACGCATTGAAACAAAAACAACAAATGCAGTGTCTCGCGTCACTTTCACGATAATTCATCAGTAATAATTTCGGCCAAACAGAGACTGTGACAGAGACTCTTCGCCTTACCAAGAAGTTCATCATCCTCGTCGCCGTCTGTTTTGTCCTCGGCAGCCGCAGCTGGCTCCTCCTGCTGCTGCGGCTGCTGCTCTTGTTTTATTTGTTGCGCAGGTTGGGCCCCTTGCTGCTGCTGTTGTTGTTGCTGTTGCTGTTGAGCCTGTTGCTGCTGAGCTTGCTGCTGCTGCCGTTGAGCTTGCTGCTGCTGTTGTTGAGCTTGCTGCTGCTGCTGCTGCTGAGCCTGCTGTTGCTGTAGTTGCTGCTGCTGCAGCTGCTGTTGCTGTCGCTGCTGCAGCTGCTGCTGCTGCTGCTGCTGCTGCTGCTGCTGCTGCTGCTGCTGCTGCTGTTGCTGTAGTTGCTGCTGCTGCTGCTGCGGGGAGGCCGGCGGCTGACCGGGCGCGGTTGGCGCCGGCGCCGGGCTGCCGGCCGCTGCCCCCGGTCCCACGGACGGACTCTGGCCGGAGCTCGGAGCCGGGGACGTCACCGCCGGGGAGCCTACCGGAGCTGGGAGGGACACGGACCGAGCGTCAGACGGAGCGCACACAGACACAGGGGCGACACCAGACTCTGATCTGACGGAATTTTTGAACTCTGCTAAGACTGGACACTCATGCGAGAAATGTCGAATATATGCATGATGTCAGATGCCTGCGAGGCACAGCACGGTAGAGCAATGCAAGCGGCATCGCGGCACACGTCGGTTTCGGCGAACGACGGCGGATGCTGGGGAGTGCTGAGGGGGGAGGTCGAGCGGGTGGAAAAGTGCGGCCGGATCTGCCTCGGCGAGTAGAAAGAATAGCAGGTGAGGCACAACAAAAGAGTGTAATCCATATACACAGAAACAAAGTCAAGCCACAACACATGAAAACGGACAAAGGGTCCGTGCCTGTTTTCTAATCAGATTCCAGATAGCTCGGCAAGTGGCAAATCCCTGCAGCTCTGTATGAGCTTCTCTAAGGTATGGACACTGACTGCGATACGGCTCACAATCGTCTACAGATAAGATGTCAAACTTACTTTGAGTCGGTTATAAATGTACGTTAGGTGGATTCAAAACAGTCTACATTTACAGATCTAAATATAGCGCACGGCAAAGAGCCCACTGTAACAAAAATATTACGCACTGCAAACAAAAAAGAAATATCAATACGTCTAGTAAAATCAAGCAACAAAAAGCAAACAACATACAGCGTGCGACAAAACAATATCGAAAAGGCAAGCCAAGCACAAAATCAAACAAATAAAAACAAAAACAAACAAACAAACAAACAAACAAACAAACAAACAAACAAACAAACAAACAAACAAACAAACAAACACAAAACGAACGAACACAAACAAACAGAAAACACGCTCAGGCGTGCCGGGCTGGCGGCGGCCGGTCATCGTGCGGTCTGACAAGCGGAGGCCATGCAGCCGGCCGGCCGGCCGGCCGGCCGGACGGGCGGCCGGGCGGCGGGCGGCGGCCGCCTACCTTCCTGTGGAAACGGGCCCGGCGCGTGGAACGACTCCGAGTGGGTGGAGACCGCCGGCGGCGCAGGAGGAGGCGGCGGTGGGGGCGGGGGCGGCGGTGGCGGCCCCCACATACCGGCCACCATCTCCGCCCGGCGGTGAGGAGGCATCATGTGCCCTCCGGCTGGGGAGCGGAGGTCAGTGAGACCGGGCCGGGGAGTGGCGCCGGTCAGACCACGGCTCCGAGCGGCGCCATACAGACACACTCCCTACACAGACAGCCTGGCCCTGTCTAGCCAGACAGCCAGTCACAGACACCCAGGAACCGCAGACAGTCCGCGGGTTGGACGTTTGGATTTCTGTTAGAACAGGCAGCCAGGACACGGAACACCAAATATCAACCCTGCCATTGGACATTACGGTGTTAGCCGAATAATTCAAAGCGCCCAAAAAGTGTCTCTTAGGTATAATATGAATTGAATACAACGCATTTGTTATGACGCGGTAAGCACACCTCACATAAAGTAAACTCAGCAAAGCCCCGGTATGTCAAGTTAGTCACTTCGCCTCCAGAAGCACCCCTGTTCAGTCTCTGTCGCATGATGTTTGCATTCGTGACAGCCGTCTCATTGCCATCACTGAAACCTCCACGCCCCATCATAGCCAGGCGGTTCAACACAGAACCTCAGTGTCTGGTACGAGTCCAGTGCCCATGTCACGCCCCGTCCATCCCGTGTCAGTCCGTCCGACCCGGTCCCAGTGCCAGTGCCAGTGTCAGTGTCACACCCGTGGCGTCTGCGCACACCCACCTGCCGCGCGCTGCTGCGCCTGCTGCTGCGCCTGCAGCCGCTGCTGCACGATCAGCTGCATCATGCGCGGCTGGCGCTGCTGCGGCGGCAGCGGCTGTCGGAACGGCTGGCCGTGGTGCGGCAGCGCCGGCCGCGCAGAGCCTGAGAACGCGTATTGGAGGTCAGAAAACGAACAGAGGAGCCGCCAGCACAGTGGCGGCAGGGACAATATCTCAGCGCCGCCCGCGCAGAGCCTGACGGGGCGGCGTGGAGGTCAGGGCTCGTCGCCACCAACACAGCGGCGCCGGGAGCAATATCTCAGAGTGCAGTCCCCCGCGGCCCGCACCTAGCTACCCAACAGTAACACCTTGTTTTCGGTCACTAATTTGAAGACCAACCATTCTCAAGTTACACATTTTGTGTCTACGGATTGTCCCAGCGTCTAACTATGTAGTTTGATCAACGAATGTCTGTCGGGAGACTGTAAGCAAGCGAGTGTAGAGTGCGTAAGTGAATGACTGCAGTTGAGGAAATGCAGCCTGTATGACTCTGATCGATAAGTTGACCCGCGGGCGCGTTGACCCACCGTGGTGCTGTTGCTGCTGCTGCTGCTGCTGCTGCTGTCGCTGGAGCAGCTCGCGCAGCTGCTGCTGTCGGGCCAGCGCCAGCTCTCCGCCGTCGGCCGGCTGGCCGGGCCGCGACGGGCCGCCCAGCTGCATGAACGGGTCCGCCTGGCCGGGCCGCACGGCGAACGGGCTGGGCACGCCGGCCGGCGCGCCCGGGCCGGGACTGGGGCCGGGACTGGGGCCGGGACTCAGACCGGGGCTCGGGCCGGGGCTGGGGCCGGAAGGGGACGGCAGGGCACGCGGGGACATGTGAGGAGACATGTGAGGATGGCCCATCGGCGACTCCTGCGAACCGGGCCGGCCAGTGACTCTCCCTCCGAGGGCAAACTACTCTACAGTCGCATCGCACAGACATGGCCCACACCGCCTGGAACTAACTGAGCCCTCTGCCAAACTGAACCCAGAATATCTTCCGTAGCCCTGTGCTCAGCCGAACTCACCTGCTGGGCGGCGGTGGTGACGTGCAGCTGCTGCTGCTGCTGCTGCTGCTGCTGGGGCGGCCTGCTCTGCAGCGAAGTGGGAATGTCCTCCTCCAGCTGCCGCTGCACCAGAGCTATCGCCGCCGCTGCCGCCGCAGGTAACAAAACTCAGTCAGCTGAGAGCGCGGTCACCATACATTATCGAGCACATGGCAGTCAGACAGCTCAGCAAGGTGTTGTAGAGTTAGTATAACTGCACGTAGCTACAAGCGACCACATACAGGGTGACACAAAAAAGCGGTCATCACCAAAATTCGAATAACTTCAGAAGTTTTATTCAAATCATCACCAAACTTCGGCCACTTTAGGTCACACCTATGTAGCAGACATCCACCAAGTTTCAAGTCTTCACTACGAATACTTTTAGTACAGTGTGTGTTTTACTGACGCTCCACAATGTGCTCCAGGTGAGCACCCCGGCGCTGCAGGGCGTAGGCACACCTGCACCCGGCGGGCAAAGTTGTCGATAATCCGATAAGAATAACGTTTCAGGGGTAGCACACCCCCTGAGCACTGTCTCCAGAGGCCATTGCACTCTGTAAAGTGCACAGCCATCGGGTTATCGACAACTTTGCCCGCCGGATGCAGGTGTGCCTACGCCCTGCAGCGCCGGGGCGCTCACCTGGAGCACATTGTGGAGCGTCAGTAAAACACACACTGTACTAAAAGTATTCTTATTGAAGACTTGAAACTTTGTGGATGTATGCTACATAGGTGTGACCTAAAGTGGCCGAAGTTTGGTGATGATCTGAATAAAACTTCCGAAGATATTCGAATTTTGGTGATGACCGCTTTTTTTGTGTCACCCTGTACCAACGCTCTCACCTTGGGCCTGCTGTCGCTGCTCCTGAAGAAGCAGTTGCTGCTGCTGTTGCTGCTGCAGCTGACCCTGCGGTTGCTGCTGCTGCTGAGCCTGCTGCTGAGCCTGCTGCTGCGCCTGCTGCTGCTGCAGCTGCTGTTGCACTGGCTGCGGCTGTTGTTGTTGATGCAGCTGCTGCTGTCCCTGCGGGTGCTGCTGCTGGTGTATCTTCTGCTGCTGCTGCTGCTGGATGTGCTGCTGCTGAGACTGCTGAACCTGCTGCTGCTGCTGCGCCTGCTGCTGCTGCGCCTGCTGCTGGCGGAGCGCCTGCATCTGCCGCCACTGCTGCTCGTTGGTCTGCAGCGGGGTGGGCCGGTGCTGAACGGCCTCCTAGGGGCGCGGACGGGGCGTCAGCGGATGGGGAGGGCGCGGGTGCTCAGAGACGGACCCTCCACCGCGGGCAGACTATAGACACTGTGCAGTCAGCGGGCACAGCCGCCGGGCAGCGGCGGCGGGACCGGCAGACACCTACATCCGAACACGGTCAGGGGATAAAACACTGCCGTACGCCTCAGAGGTACCGGCAACTAAAAAAACAACCATGAACAATTCATCGATTGAAACAACTACATGTTGACAGCTCTTACCAGCAAAACAGTCACACCGAAACATTGGAAAGCGAGGTACGATCTCGCTGGATGAGCAAACAGATATCGCTTAACACTAACACAGAGAAAACAGCAAAACGGCAACATTACACTGAGCGTTAACCGATGTAAATGAACCACCAATGAGTGCTGGGTGCCGCACACTCCACCCAGTGGTCAGCGCGGACGGGTTACGGAGACACGGAGAGCTATGAGTACACTCATTCTGCACACACCAGTGGCGCCGGTCCGATCGACTCGCGCCCGGAGCCACCCCGGGCCGATCGACTCGCGCCCGGAGCCACCCCGGGCCGATCGACTCGCGCCCGGAGCCACCCCGGACCGATCGGCTCGCGCCCGGAGCCACCCCGGGCCGATCGACTCGCGCCCGGAGCCACCCCGGGCCGATCGACTCGCGCCCGGAGCCACCCCGGGCCGATCGACTCGCGCCCGGAGCCACCCCGGACCGATCGGCTCGCGCCCGGAGCCACCCCGGGCCGATCGACTCGCGCCCGGAGCCACCCCGGGCCGATCGGCTCGCGCCCGGAGCCACCCCGGGCCGATCGACTCGCGCCCGGAGCCACCCCGGGCCGATCGACTCGCGCCCGGAGCCACCCCGGACCGATCGGCTCGCGCCCGGAGCCACCCCGGGCCGATCGACTCGCGCCCGGAGCCACCCCGGGCCGATCGGCTCGCGCCCGGAGCCACCCCGGGCCGATCGACTCGCGCCCGGAGCCACCCCGGGCCGACCCACACCCGACATTCAGGCGGCGCGCGGGGACGGTGCCAAGCTGCCGGCGGTCGCACAGTGAGCCCGTGCCAGCCGGCCGGCCGGTGTTAGAGTACGCCCCGCAGCGCGGCACAGCCAGCCAGGGGAGGGGGCTGCGCACCGAGCGGCATGCGCGGCCACACCCGGTACATACACAGTCACACACCCCACCGACCGGCCGGCACCCAGGCCAGTTACAGCGAGCGGCCGCGAGCCAACCTGTGCAGACGCCCCGTCACCAGCGGCCGGCGGGGTTAGTGCGGCCGCGCCGGCCACCACCTCGGCCGGCGGCGAGTCGCCCGAATCTACCTGCGCGCTGCTCTCCGAGGCCTGCGCCGGCGCCGCGGCGGCGGCGGCGGCGGCGGGGGCGGCGGCGGCAGGCGGCGCCCGCACCACACCGCCCTGCTTGGACTGTGAAACGAAACATCATTGGCAGCGGACTGCGGGCGCGGGGACTGGTGGGGCGCGGCGGCCGGTCCCGCACAGACAGGCTGCGGGTCGGGTCACCGCCGCGCGGCCGGACAGGTCCTCACTGCCGGGACGGTCAGTCAAACCACACACACACACTGCCGGCGGGCGGCCGACAGACAGCCCGGCGCCGCTCCGGCGCGCCGGTAAACGTCACAACAAACACAACTCGTAAGGGCCCCCGGGAACCCCGCAAGCATTGGGGTGCTCCGCGAATCCAACACACCGCGGCGCGTATAATCTCGCTACATTCTCGCTCTCCAGACCACGCTACGTACCTTGCTGGCGGAGCGGTTGTCCTTGGCCTTCTGCAGGTAGGGCTGCTTGCTCTCGGGCGAGAGGGCGCGCCATATCTTCATGATCTGCCGGACTCGGTCGGCCACGGCTGCCGGCACGCAGAGGACAGGGGACGTCAGACATCAGTACCGATCATTACAGAGTACGGTGGCGGATCAGTACAGTAATATTAGAGACGCCAACTCTCCACAAGTCAATGAAATAAGCCACTTGGAACATTCAGGCCATCCCCAGCTGATCGTTGGACGGCAGCCTGTTGCCACGCTCCGCCTCCGTACCTGGGAACTCAGTGAGCAGCTCGGGGTGTTTGTGGTTGGCGTACAGCACCGGCGATATGGTGGCCGCCTCGCCCAGGCTCATGTCGTGCTCCCATTTGGCCAAGTTGCGCTGGTTGTACGTCTGTGACTCGCTGGTGGCGCCGGGCGGCGGCTGAGTGCCGGAGGCGCCGGCCACCGGGCGGGCCACGGCGCCGGCGCCCGTCCACGCCATCTCACCCGACTGCGGCCGGTCCGCGAACTCGCCAAACTGGCCTCTGCAACGGGCGGCGACCAGCAGTCAGTGTATGGGGTAATCCCAAACTGTCGCTGCCAAAACAACGAAAGCTGACGGGCAGAACTAGTCAAACTGTGATCAAACTAGTAACTACGCAGACGTTTAAGCAGTGGCCTCTAATAAGGCCACCATTTCCAGCAGTCGCGGCTTCGCCAGTCGAACCACCGCGCGGCGTCACTCACCCGTGCTCCTGTCCGAACTGTGCCATGTGCGGCAGGGGGGCCGGCCCGGCGCCGGCCACCATGGCCTGCTGCTGCGGCGGCGGCGCGCGAAACCGGACGGCCGCTCCCAGCGGCTGCTGCGGGTGCTGCAGCGGCGCGCGGATCAGCTGCAGCTGCTGCGCCGGCGGCGGCATCCCCGGCGGCGGTGGCAGCGCCGGACGCGCCTGCTCCGCCTGCTGCTGCTGCTGCTGCTGCTGCTGCTGGGCCAGCTGCAGCTGCCGCTGCTGGGCCAGCTGCGCCTGCCGCTGCTGCTGCTGCTGCTGGTGCTGCGCAGCCACCTGCTGCGGCGTCACCTCCAGCGTGTCCTTCAGCAGGTCCTCCACGTCCTGACCGTCCATGTTGGGCAGCCCGGTCACCATCGACTCGAAGCTCTCCGGCCACGGTCCGTCCAGCAGCTCGGAGAGCTCGTCCTTGCTGGCGCCGCCCTCGGCGTCGTCTCCGGACATGTTGGCCAGCTCCGAGTCGGCGATGTCCTCCAGGTCCGGGTGCTCGCCCAGAGCGTTCTCGTCCTCGTTGAGGATGGTGTCCACCAGGTCGCCCTCCAGGTCGGCGCCCAGACCGGGGAAGATGTCGTTGAGCGCGTCCTCACCGTCGTCGTCAGTCTGGGGACACGGTGTAGGGGGAGGTGCGGTCAGTACTTGGAAGGTACGTAAAGGTTGAATAAAAGGTTGAAACAGTTAACTAACAATGCAACAGACCTGAAGGCAGGGCCAAGACAGTGAAGAACGTTTCATAGCAGCCGCTAGACTAGGAACGACGCATTGGAAAGTGAATTATGTCACTATTCCATCTAGAGCTTAATCAACTCACCTCGTTCAGTTTATCCGACTTGGCGTCGCCGCCGGCGCCGGTCCCGGCCGCCAGCTCCTTGCTGGAGGCCTCCTGCTCCTGCTGGAGTCGCTCCTCGGTCTCCCTGCGCTCCTGAGCCTCGCGCACCAGGTCCCGCTCGGCCTGAGAACCGAGGCGTCACACGTCAGAGCACAACCGAACCAAGATAAGGAGGAAGCGAACGGAGTAGACCGAAAACGCACGAGTCCTAAGGATGTGGAGAGTATGGTGAGGAGCGACATGGCTTTGTAACAAACAAACAAAACGTGATCGACCTATCGGATTTGTAACACGCATACATCAAAATTGTAAGCCATATAACGCAGGACATTTATGGAGCCGCTCAGCCGAAGACGGTCGGCTGGCGATCTCCGTATTTCGTCTTACCTTGGAGAGTTGGAGTGTGAACTCCTTCTCGGGCTGCTCCTCCTCGTCTGCCTCGTCCTCGGCCGGAGGCTCCTCGCGCTCCTCCTCGCTCTCCGACATTTTGGCCTCCCGCGAGCTGTCGATCAGCTCCTTGCCGAAGAACGACTCCTGCAGGTACAGCGGGTACGCCTCGATCAGCTTGTACTTCTTGTTGCGGCGCACGGCCTTCTTCTTTGGCTTGTCCCCGGGCACGGCGAAGGCGGTGTCGGTGGCGGCGGCCGTCTGTCCGTCCTCGGTGGGTGTGACCGGGGTGCCGGGGGTCAGGGACGGCCCGCCGCCGCCCTCGGCCGCCGCCGTGGCCGCCGCCAGAGCCGAGGCGGCCGCCGCCTGCGCCGCCGCCGCCGCCGCCTCCTGACGCTCCTCCTCGTCCTTCATGTTCAGGATCTTGGGGCCGCGCGCCTTCACGTAGAATCCGCCGACGCCGATCTTCTGCATGTTGCGCTGTCGTTTCTTTCTGATGACGTAGTCGCCGGACTCGAGCCGAGTCATGGTGAATCCGTCTGGCAGGTCGGGCGGCGAGCCGTCCTCTTTGGGCGGCAGCACCATGCCGTCCTTCCAGACCGACTGGGCGGCCGACTCGGCCACAGGCTCCGGCTCGTCCGGCTCCTCCAGCATCGAGGTGGCTGCGGGCGGACCGAGGGGAAGCGCGTCACCTTCCGGGGGCATTGTCACAGTCTAACTCACACGTTCTGATGACAAAATAACTCGAGCGATTCAACACAAAGCAAATACAGTCATCCAAACACTCTGCATCAACACGAAACATGTAAGAGTTACGTCGCAGGCCAGATAATTTCTGAGCCAGACAGAGACCCATGTCCTCTGTTCGCTAAAGCACCCCCTCTCTGCCGTGGATCCCCATGACTCACTGCCCAGCACACTGTCAATGGCCGCCGAGATGCTGCCGTCGCCCTTGCAGTCGACACGCTTCTTTTTCTTTTTGGCCGGCTCGATGGTGAGCCCCTGGATGACCTTGTAGCCCGTGTCGGAGACGTACACGTTGTCCATGACGAAGAACCGCTCAGACGGCCGCCACTGCTCCGGCTCTGCGGGGAAGGGAACTAGGCGGGTGAGCAGCTGCAGGTCAGCAGCTCAGAGAGCACCAATCCACCAAGTCAGCGGCAGGCAGCAGCAGTGAGTGCATCCACATCGTGGCAGGGACATCGTTATACATATAGCAGCTCTTGCTTCAACCAGATACTTCACATGCGGTGCACGTGTAAGCGATAGACGAATAAAACATGTTAAGTCATTATCATATAACTGCGAAAAAAAACACGACTATACCACGACTGAATTATCTCTAGAAACCCGCCCCTCCCTCACCAGCCCTTTCCCTCTCTCGCGGCACATCGCTCCGTACTTTTCTCCGCGGGGCTGTCGGGCTCGACGATGGAGGCGTCGACGGAGGGCTGCATGTGCGGCGGCGGCTCGTCGGCCGGCCGACACCGGGTGCACGTGTAGCCCATAGTGGCGCACACCTCGGCGTCCTCCTCAGTGTGGATGAAGTCGTCAGCCGCGTGACTCCACCTGGCGGTGCAGCAGAGCACAGACAGTTAGAGGGAGCTGTGGTGGTCGGGACTGCGTCCATAGACGCCGCAGCCAGCCAGCGTCAATAGGAACATCACCCCCGGCGCCCTGCGCCCCGCCCTACCTGAGGCACTGGGCGAGCCAGCAGACCCCGCCCTACCTGAGGCACTGGGCGCACTCGATGATGAGCTGGCCGTCCTGGTAAGGCTCCTGGCAGGTGGCGCAGCGCGTCAGCGAGCCGCACGGGCCACACATGGTGTAGTTGTCCAGCCAGGTGCAGCCCTCGCCGCCCGGAGACTGAGAGCCGCAGTGGACGCACACCGCGCACCTGATTACAGAAATAAGGTGAAACAACGTTTTGTGAAAGAGTGAAGACGATGTTCTGGAAATCAAAAGACATAAACAGAAACAGATAAACATCATATGAGCAGCAGCAAACAGTTCATAACCATCACTCTCAGAGTGATACAGTCTCCCGTCCTGCCCACCCGTTGCCCAGGAGGTCCCTCCCCTCCCGGCCCGCCTCCCATCCTCTCGCCGCTCACCACTGGCACTTCCATCCGCCGTGGGGCACGTAGTCGAGCGGCGGGTCCATGCAGTACGTGTGGAACGAGATGTCGCACTCGTCACACAGAATCAGTCGACTCTCGTCGTTCTTCTGGCCGCAGCCCTCGCAGACGGTGCAGTCTAGACAGCGGAAGCCGCGCTCCAGCACCACCTTATTCACCTGCCGAGAGGACATACCGCACACACGGTCACAGAGCACCGCCAAATAGTACACTGTTCGACATACAGAACTATGGCACGACGGCCACATTATAATCGGTCACCGCGAGCCGCTGAACTATAGTAGCTCTGCAACCACCAATATGGCAAAACGTGGTGAACGTAAGAGCAGTGCGGTGAAAGAGTGGTACAGTGGTGAATAACTCACAGTAATATCTCCTTTTCTTTGGAGAAAGCAAACTTTGAGCCTTTCAACATTAGGGTACTGAATGTTCATTATCGTAAATATGACGGGCTTTAAGTATGCAATAATCATCTCCGACTTGGAAACCAGTAACCTAGACACGCTTGATCATTTCAAACACAGGGTACAAGCAAGGTACAAGGATGCCACACTATGTCCTCATTTCGGTGATTGTATGTATAAGACGTAACGCCTGACCACCAGGATTATTTTTGAGTTGCATCGAACCACCCGCAACAGAAAACACAGAGCCCGGAATGACAACAGCGAACAGGCGGAAGCGGCACTGCGTCTCAGACGGGATCGCTACGTCACCTGGGTGGACTTTCTGACCGCGCGGGGTATAAGGGGCCGCAAGGTATCGTTTTATCTGCACGGTCATACTGCGCATCGACCACGGTAGGGCAATACAACACTAACGGGCCGACTGCGGCCGCAGAGGAGGTGGGGATCCGCTCCGCAGACGGCCGGCCCGGTGATGTCAGGAGTCGGAGAAATGCTCACATGGAGCAGGGGAGCGCCCGGACCACCCGGCTCGGCCGGGGGACTGGGTGGGCATAAGGCGGCAGATCAGGTCACGAACGGAAAGACGGATCTTTGTGAACGGTCGCTGATAAAAGTCCGACACAGCATCAACGTCGCCCCAGCAGAAAGCACAGTAATCGGAGTCGCACCAAGTGCCAGGGATCATATTCAACTAGTCATGGCAGCTTACACATCGGGAGGCACGATATAGGACATCTGGTGACGAGCAACCGGCATTCGAGGATCATTACAATTATAAATGCTCAAAATGTGAATTCACTTATATTTTAACAATAGGTGGTGTATTTCTGACATCAATGCCCATATTTTAATATTTTGAGCACTCTTACAATATCATGTTATCTTAAATTCATAATGAGGACTTTGTAGGTCACTGCTGTCCGACCATAGATTATGAATCAGTTCCCAAAACGTCACCCCCGGAGACAGATTCAGACTCAGGTAGTAGTCGTCCCACACGGCCCAGTGCGTCACTCAGCAGATCACGGGGCTTTAGCTGTGGGCGGCGTCCAGTCACAGCGTCGATGCGTAACGCCGCTGATTTGCGCAGCCCACGCACACGCAGTTGTGTCACGCTGGGGCGCCGGCCATAACAGAGCCGCCGCCGGCGGCCGCAATCAGGGCGGTCAGTTCTCAGCGTCCGGCGATCCAGTGGCGGTGCTATCTGCACAGCGCGTCTACATCACAGCGGGCCGGCCCGCGGCGGGCAGCGGACATACAGATATACTGCTGAGAACAGACTGACAGACAGGCTGACTGACAGACTGCTGAGTGCAGACCGCGCGGCCGCGTCCGAAACAGCGTGCAAAGACGCCCACGGAGTAGAGTATTCATCGGTGACTCATCAGGACCAGTCCAATGTGACCAGTAGCTCCACCGGCTTCTTCATCAAAATCCAGCGTGTTTGGCCAGCTCATCGAGAATGGGAGAAAGCTAGCCCCAAGCGACTTCGAGGTTCCATGGGGCGAAATAGTTGGTGCAAAACCAAAGCACTGACGGAATATGAGTGGTAGTGTCTAATGTGTCATCGAATTGTGTCCAAACTACATACAAAGCCATTTAGAAAAAAAAATCACTACTCCTTCCTAAACTGGAACACCTTTGAAAAATAGGAACGTAGGTATTTTTGCAAGGGGTTATGCATTTTTCAGTATCAGAAATGCAATGGACTTCTGCTTTGGTGTTCTTTTTCCAGAGCATTCAATTCCACATTGCCTGAACCATTGTGTTGTCGCGTCATGTTTGCTTACCGAAGTAAGATGGTATTCGTTTTGTCTTTTGTGTAGGCATTGACATTGATATTGGTAATTGGCATAATATAGCTTCATTTTAATCGTCCAATGAGACACTCATCAAACTTAGTCACACTTACTAAATACGAGCATATTTAAATATGTAACAAAACAAAAAAAAAATGCCTGAAGGAACATGCTAAAAAAATCAGACCGCAAAAATGGAGGCCAAATACATTTATTTATAAAAAATACGGTGGACCGACGAATATACCACTTTGATGTAAATTTCAAAACACCGATAACAGAGCGTTTCCCCGGTTCAAAGTGTTTCACTGACGGCGTCCCGCCGGGTTTTGCCAGTTCAGGTTTTAGCATCGGCTTTTCGTCAAATCATTGCATCAATATGCATTGATTCATACGGGATAACATTCCAAAAATGTGTCATTTCAATGTGCTTAACAAGTATCAATCGTTGTTCAGTGTTCGCCCAACAAATGTGAATAAAAAATCGTAACATCCAGAGAATCAAAAAGCATCCTTGACCTACGAATTGGCATAGCATATGTGTAACCTAAATTCGGTGTTCATTTATCTTCACATCAGGTTTGACCTATGCCAAGTTCTATGCTTTGCCCCAATTTCATTCCCGATCTGTCTTATCACACAAGGCGACCTAAATATGCGCAAAAACGCTCGTCTCCTTCCGTCGATAGTAGGAAGGCGACGTCAACTGTGACTCCAAGGCGGTTTCACCAGAGCTCCGCCGAATCGGCACTGAGTATTGTCTTAACTGGAAACGCAGGCCGCCGATTTACCAGCTATTTTTAATTACTCGACGTGCGCACATGATGAGAGTTACAAGCAAGTATATCAATGAATAGGCTACATTATGAGCTTTCCGAGAAAAAAAAAACATGTGTCAAGCACGGGTGCGAGAAAAGTTCTAGTTCAACGCCTCCACCAGAGGGCTATCGAATTGGATGATTCATTTCACCAGTTTTCCAGTGTTCGGACTCTGCGCACCGCCGTGGCGGTCCGATTCCCCTGCCATCCCTCTACCGCCCCCGCCATCCCTTACTGTCCCCTCCCCGTCCCCCTCCGTCCCTCACCTTGATGGTGATACAGTAGGGGTGGTAGGCCTGGCCGCACTGGGTGCACGGCACGACTCCCCTCCGTCCCTCAGAGCGCACGGTACGACTCCCCTCCGTCCCTCAGAGCGCACGGTACGACTCCCCTCCGTCCCTCAGAGCGCACGGCACGACTCCCCTCCGTCCCTCAGAGCGCACGGTACGACTCTCCTCCGTCCCTCAGAGCGCACGGTACGACTCCCCTCCGTCCCTCAGAGCGCACGGCACGACTCCCCTCCGTCCCTCAGAGCGCACGGTACGACTCTCCTCCGTCCCTCAGAGCGCACGGTACGACTCCCCCGCCATCCCTCACCTTGATGGTGATGCAGTAGGGGTGGTAGGCCTGGCCGCACTGGGCGCAGGCGATGACGCGGCCCTCCATGTCCTGGCCGAACGAGCCGCACATGACGCACACGTCCTGCTGCAGCACGAACTCATCGCGGGACGAGCAGAGCACCATCTGGTTGTCGTCGTTGGGGTTCGACTTGTAGAAGGAGCCGCCGCCGGCGCCGGCCGGGTTCTCCGGACGCTGACGGTCGGCACGGGGGCGGGGGAGGTGATACAGTGAAGTCACGGCGGAGAGAAACTCGGTGATGGTGCGGGCAGAGGCCGAATAATATCAGTCGGTCCCATCACTGTGGCTGTTTGCGTGGAAGGTCAGTAGGTAGCGTTACGGCTGTTTAAAGGCCAAAACTAGCTCAAGATCCAAAGAACAACTGACACAAAATAGTGAAACGTAACTTCCACGTAAAAACCTAACAAGTAAAACAAAAACGTTGACGGCCAGTACCACAGCAGCCCGGATGGCTTGCCGAGTCGGCAGCTCCCCTTGCCTCCCTAACCGTGTCGCCCCCCAGGGCGCCGGCCGCCCCTGTCCTCACCTGCAGCGCCACGGCCGGTGCGCCGAACATCCCTCGCACCTTGGCCTTGTAGGCCCGCTTACGGTGCACGTCTGGCAGCCGCTTCTTCTTCAGCACGTCCGTCTTGGACGGCTTGCCCGGCGGCTTGCCGCCCAGCCGGCCGCCGCCGCCGCCGCCAGTTTTGATGCCCAGCTTCTTCTTGACCAGGTGGAGCGGCTTCCCGCCACCCTTGGCGCGGGGCGTGCCCTCCTCGCCCTGGCGGAGAGGAGCGGAAAACACGTCAGCCGGGCTGTCAGACACAAAGATTCGCAGAAAAATGACAAAATTGAGTCAATATGACATAAGGAGGTTTTGCATACAATTATCTCAAAACTGCCTGGAGCTGCAATGCCTCGTTATCCAACTGACCAAACAAATGTCGTAAGTAACAGCAACACAAAACACAAAACAAAAACTTGGGGTGGCAGATCATCTATCATTCACAATGGCAGGACAGGCGCTGGAAAGTCGCGTAAGTATTCAAATAGGACCATTTCTAGACGGAATAAAAATACCAGTTTATGAATGTCAAATAGCTAAATGATTGCCAACAAAAACAATAAAAAATAAGACAATCACTTCAAGTCACCACCGGGCACCGATCTTTTACGTGATCTAACAGGTGCACTCGGCTTGTTTCCATGTCAATATTGCTAATTTTAGAAGAGCACAAACCGCAAGTCCGCCCCCTCCCCCTCCTACCGATAATCACCAACAGCATACCAAAGCCGGTAGGCGGGGGACCGGTCAGACGCTACTGTTCACCAATGGCGTGCACTCAGCGCGGCCGGCCGACGCTGCCCGGGGGCACGTGACCTACTGACCCGACTGACCTTGACCGGCCGGCCGCAGACAGCTGACGCACCCACACCTCCCTCCTCCCCTCCCCGGCACTGAGACGGCAGCGGGCGCACGAATTATGGAGCGGTGATAAAAGATAACGCGAGGGGTTGAAAAAAATGTCGTTGATAAAAAAGCGACATTTTCGTTTGGCGAACCCAGGCGAAGTGTTTGAAACCTGGAAGAATAGGCTGACAAAACAAATTATTGCTATCCGAAGTGACACCCAACTAACGGATAAAGAAGCATGCCATAGGTAAAAGGCACCGGGAGCTTTAATAACACATTAAATATTAATCAATTAACGAGGAATGCACAATAAAAATCGGATGGGTACGTTAACTGCAAAACAAGTCAAAGTAACCTTCACCTATAATAAACGCAATGATTCTGGAAACTGCGCCACCGAACAGTTGACACCACCGCCCCGATCCGCGACACTGGCTGCCCGCAAGGCGCTCATTACCAGCAGCGTTCGGTCACACTGGAGGGTATGTACCGAGAGGGAAAGGTTGGCCGACAGCAGCGGTAGGTAAGGCGCACGGAGCGGCGGCCAGCGAGGCGGTCGCTCCAATAATCAGCCCACTGACGAACTGGGGAGCACTGAGTCGACGGGCGGCACCTCCGTGGGCCCGAACACCGTGCCAATGAATGATATCATGGGATGTTGAAGCTGTCACAGACAGTTAATTAGCGGCGTCAGGGTGCGCAGATACTGACACCATCAGCCAGCCAGCGGGATCAAGGTCTCTGCTACACCACGTTATTCCATCTAGCGGTCATACCACAGTAAATCACATCTGCGGTTTATTACCTCAGAGAAGTGGCTATCAAAGGTGGTTCTATTGATGTGCATACTTCCATTACAAACACCGTGTCAATCTGTTAACGTGTCACTATGAGAGTCAGATAGCCCGCCCAGCACGGTCGGGTCGGGTAGCTACACCTGTCTACCGGTGACCTTTAGCAGGTGCGGGCGGCACACACACGGTACGGATGGCCGAGGTCGGTCCCACCGGTCCCAGTGTTGGAGGCGGGGCGACGAGAAATAGTCGGCGGTGGGTGCACAATATACGTTATCACTCTTTCCACAACATGAAGCCGACGACGCCACTCTCAGGTAAGAATGAGTGATCCTCTTCTTTACAGTCTCTAGGTAATGCATTCATATAACGTCTTAATCAACACCTGTACAAAATAATGTCGAAAAAGTAACAACTTTGGATTTTGACCATAAGAAAGTGGTTTGCTTTCCATAGCAAAGGCTACGATAAAACCTGAAATTTGTTGGCATTTACATATATCGTTATGTTTCACCCAAATGAATTCCAATCGATTTTCATCTTCTCCCTGATTCGAAGAACTGGAGCAAAAACAGCGCGAATGCATCACCAAATTGGCGTCGGTTCCCGTAACTGTTTACGGGAAATTCCGCAGTTCATTTTGCCGCCGTCGCGAAATGACTAAAAATTAGCCTACAATTACCCCCGCTCTGCCACAACCGACGATGGGTACAATTGAGAGTGGCCCGGGGGTGTGAACGTCTTCCAGATCACCACTGGACGCACGCCTCGGGGGCTGGGGGACGGATGCACCGACGCAGTCACTCGGTGACTAATCGTATGGATCGTGTCGGCCTATAAAACAACCGTCTCGGAGCAGGCAGGCAGACGCCGATCGTCAGTCGCCGAGAGCACTGTATCGCCCGCGAGCACAGGATGGCCCGGGGTCAGTCACTGCTACCACTGGTGGGTCTATTGCTCTCACTGCTCGGAGGGGCCGCCGCCGTCCCTCCAGCGGCCGGCGAGCAGCCGAGGGAGGCGACATCGCTGGTGATACATCCACCGTTAGCCGCTCCGTCGATAGTACCCAGCTCCGGCGTCTCTCCGCCAGCCCTCACCCCACCTTCCCTTCCCGTGGCACCGGGCAGTGGGGAGGCGCCCCCGCCGCCCGGCCCCGGCTCCGCGCTGAGCCCCGTCCCGTACCAGCCAGCTCCGCCGGGGCTCCCTCCTCCGGTGGAACCCGTGGTTAGGACAACACAGACCTCGGCGACTTCGAGGCGGAAGCGAGCAGTCGACAGCAGGCGGGCCAAAGCCGTGGGCGATAAGTCGGAGGAAGTCGGTAAGAAGGCATCAGACGACGACGACGAGCGTTCCCTCTCGCCCCGCGATGATGATCCGGTGCCCGCCGTGGAGCCGCCGGCGCCGGCCAGCCTCCGTCTGCCACAGGACGTCGAGCTACTACCGGGCTTCAGCGCGCCGCCCGACTTCGACGAGCCGCCGCCTTCCGAGGACGACAAAGACGAGACGAACGACACCAGCTCAGCGGACGGGCCGACCGACGGCGGCGCCGAGCACGTCAACTTCGAGGGACTCTACTACACCACCTACGCCGACAACAACACACATCAGGAGGTGAGGCCGATATCGAGAATAAACCGTGTGAATGGGGATATTCCGTAACGACAGCGACTGGGGAAGGGGCTCTACTGCGTCCCCATTCTTATCTCCGACTACCGGTACCATTTTCAAAATTAATGTCTTTGTGCTCGCACTGTGTGGTAAATATCAGGTCACGGTTAGGTCAAACAACTGTGCTCCTGACAGCGATTGCCGCAAAACCTTATTATTCATCAAAATAGAACGAAAGTGACGGTACACTGTCATTCCACGACAACTTTTGATAAAAAAAAACTAAACTAAACTTAAAATACAGGGTTGGGCAGATAAATTGGGACAAAATACATATTTGCATTTAGAATGCCGTAGCTTAGAAATTTGTAAGCATAGGCATTTCAAATTTGGATCACATATTGTCACACCAATTTTACATATTTATCGCCAAATATGGTCAGCGTGGTCCACCTGCATCAGTCCTTATCGGTGCCTGGACTGGCCGCACGCGCGGCGAGATCTCCCGTCTGAAATGGCTCGTAATTGTAGCCAACTGGAACTGCTGAGGCTCACCACATTCACATGGGGACGTTCGTTAGACTCAACCGCAAAAACGCCCCAGCAACCAGAACTTGTGTGGGCTGAGGTTTAATGAGGAAGGGGGCATTTTCCCTTGGGTACAGTTTGCGGGATCCTCCGTTTCAGGAGATTTTGTTTTTAATTCACTGTATGCCGGGGAGCTGACTCCTCGAAGAGCATCACTCCATGCAGGATGTTGCCGTCTTCCATCTTGTTGATTCGAACTGCCGGAATAATGGTTAGGTACCCTGTAATGACGAACCCCCTCCCGATTCCGTAAAATAAGGGGGCCCCACGTGACCGTCAGAAGTCACCGAGTGGGATGCCATCACCGATGTCTGCTGCATGCTTTTTGGAACTAAGATCACGTCTTCTGGGCTGGTTGCGATGTTACATGGTGTTTGCGGTTGTTCATATGTTCGGTTATGGGGATACCATCGTCGAAAAAGACCTGCGCGTGCTTGCTCGCTTCTCCAAGCCCTTCAAGAGGAAACAATCTTTTTAACGTCACAACTGCTTAAAAATCTATGTTGACAGGTTGATATGCATCAATGCATAAGAGTACATGCTTGAGGTGCTGGTATATCGCTTTCTCATGGCGCGGCTACCTTCGTTGTAAGCTCGCGCCACTGTTTTCGCGGGGATCCTCTGATTTAACTGAATTTTGCCTTTTAGCCCCCCTGGAAAACCAGGGGAGCGGCCGGTGTCAATGCAATAGGTATGTAAGGATGAGTCAATATCATCTCTTCCTCCAACCTTTACGTCTGTTCGATACACACTACTTTCAGCCATTTGATGGGGCATAATTAGAGTATTGGCATGCATGTGCGCGCGGGCTAAGTTGATAGTGGCTTGCTTAAGCCCAAGCTCTGTGACCAGCCGACTCAATATTAGAACGCAACCTGCATAACATGGAAACGTATTCATTAGCCTATATTTATGTTAAAAAATTATCTTTATCACTCAAAAAATAATCATTTTAGAGCAAGTTGAAATTTGTCCCAATTTATCTGCCCGACCCTGTTAAAAGATCCAGCTAAAAAAACAAAAATCCTTAGAACACATGGTGTCAAATTTATGAAGCAGAGATTACTGCCAAAGTGGGCACTGAATGACTATGTGACTTCGCTGCATTTCAGTTGGTAGCCTTATTTAGCCCGGCGCCTCTGGCTGAACGCTCCCCCCCCCCCTGCCCTTGGTCTGCAGATTCACACGCCGCTGGCGGATCTGGCCACCTCCAGCCACAGCTGCCGCGTGGTGCGCTCAGTGCCGGCCGCCGTGCGCCGCCAGCTCGGCCTGTCCCACTTCTACCAGCGCTACACCGAGGCCTACGGCATCCCGGTGCTGAGCTCGGCGCGCGTGCCCGACGCGGCGCTCCGGCGCGCCTGCTACATCGTCCGCTTCCTGTTCGCCGACGTGCGCGCCGTGCGAGACAGCTACCGGCGGCGGCGCGGCCGGGTGGCGGTCATCGGCCGCGCCGAGCGCACCACCCAGATCCCCGAGCACAGCAGCCTGGGGCCGGCCTGGGACGGCCGGGCGCGCGGCCTGGGCGCCACAGACTCCGCGCCCGTCTGCACCATCGGCGAGGAGAACCTGCTCAACTACGGCTACCCGGCCGACCGCTGGCACACGGAGGACATCGGGCTGCACGAGTTCGCGCACGGCCTGCACCTGCTCGGCGCCCGGTACGCACTGCCCGACTGGGAGCGACGCCTGGAGGCCGCCCACCGCGCGGCGCTGAGGCGCGGCCTCTGGACCAACACCTACGCCGCCACCAACCACATCGAGTACTTCGCCGAGGGCGTGCAAAAGTACCACAACGTGGAGGCGTACAGTCAGCACCCGAACGGCATCCATAACCACGTCAGCACGCGCCGGGCGCTGCTGCAGTACGACCCGACACTGCACCAGCTGGTCGCCGAGATATTCCCCTGCGGTAACACCTACATCAGTCGGCGGCAGGGCGGCTTCCAGGCGGCCTCCGACAGCGCCCGGCTGAAGCTCGAGTATCCCTCCTGTCGGCTGGAAGGCAGCACTACTCAGCCCTCGCCGACCCAGCGGCCGACAGAGGGCACGACTCGCGCGCCGGCGAGGCGGACCACCACAGCGCGGCCGCCGGGCGTGGCCTGTACGGACGGCCATCACTACTGCAGCAGCTGGGCGCGCGCCGGCTACTGCCGCTCCAACGCCGGCTACATGACCGTCCACTGCCGGCGCTCGTGCGGCGTGTGCGGCCAGTGTGCCGACCGGAACGGCCACTGCGCCGACTGGGCGCGCCGCGGCGAGTGTACGGCCAACCCGGGCTACATGCTGCAGAGCTGCCAACGGAGCTGCCGCGTCTGCTGACCGGCGAGGGGAACGGAGGGACGGGGGAGGGGGATCGGCGGGACGGGGCGGGGCGGGATGGGAAGCAGCGGAAAGGAAAGGAGGGGACGGAACGGGGAGGAGAGGAACGCAGCAGGAAAGGAAAGGAGACTACAAGGGGAGGGGGAAGAAGGGATTATGTGGTATGTGCTTTGTTTCTCAAGAGTATGTCACCTTCAAAGGAGGCAATTTCTTTTAACTTTTATAAGTCAGCTTTCCAAGTGTGAAACAGCTAACAGGGATAACTTCAGTAGGCAGTTTCTATCTCATTATATTGCCAGTAGAGGGATAACTTCAGTAGGCAGTTTCTATCTCATTATATTGCCAGTAGGACGCTAGTTATATTATATTTAATGACTATATTTGTAACTTCATGCTTTAACAAAGGACACTGGACAGTAGAGGTCGGCTGCAGTGGCTTGTGTTCGTCTCGCTGTACATTTCATGTTGCCAAATATGTGTTTCGAATGAGAATGTAGTGAATAGTTGTTGGCACCCGCCACTTGGCGGCGCTAGCCTCGTGTCATCTGTGTGACCTTCAATACAGCAGTCGACCGCTACATTTGGTGGCAGCGGTGCGCTCTCCCGCGCGGGGATGCCTGATAACGCGTTGTCCAGTGTTGTGCCGGGGGCACCGGTGCTTGTGCCTCCCCAACCGAAGTCGGACAGTGTCACTATGGCTGAGTATCTTGAATATTTTGAGACTGTTGCGCGAGCTAACAGCTGGGATGATGCCACCCAGGCCAGAATTTTTCCCGCTTTGTTGGGTGTCGGCAACAAGGCACTATCGGACTGTCCAGAGGCCGACCTTCTTTCATTTGCTCGCATCAAAGGCTACCTCACCAGAGTCAGTGAGCCCTACCGGGATGCTTACATGTTAGACCTACTACGTGCCAGCATGCAGTCTGGTGAGAAGGTGGAACAGTTCCGTGACCGCATTGTTTCGTTGGTGGAACAAGTCTACCCTCGATTCGCTGCATCCAACAAGGCGCTGCTGTCTCGAGACTTTTTCGTGTGTGGACTCCGAGAACCACTTCAGTCAGCTGTTCTCAACGCCGGCACATCCCGCAAGCTGGAGGACGTGGTGAATACTGCACTGATGTGCCAGAGCCTGCGCGGGCGTCTCTCTTACGCGACTCCCACTGTTTCAGCTGCCGGCTCGTCTCGCCGCGGGCTCTTTCCAGCTGCACCGGCGGACGGAGGCCGGAGCTCGACGGCGGCGGGGCCGCGGCCCACCGGACCGGTGTGTTGGGGCTGCGGTGGACACGGTCACGTGGTCGCCCGGTGCAGCCGCACCCGGGGTGCGCGGCCGAGGCAGGTAAAGGGTCTGTCCGCCCGGCCCCAGGACGGTCGCCTGTATCTCGACACCGAGATTGATGGACAGCGGATTCAGCTACTGGTGGACAGCGGAGCGACCGTAAGCTGCTTACCAGCCATGTTTTCACCCCAGGAGCCGGCTAAGGAGCAGTGTATCACGGCTGCGAATGGCACGGAGCTCCACGTCTACGGACTCTACCGTGCCTCGGTTCGCCTGGAAGATCAAGTTGAGCGACACGCCTTCTTCGTTACAGACGTCCGTCAGGGGGTGATGGGCATGGACTTGCTGCAGAAGTTTGGAGCGCTGATTGACGTGCAGCACCGCGAGGTGCGACCCGCCGCATCGAGGATGGTGCCATCTAGCGGTGGCAGTGAGCAGCAGCAGTTCCGTGACCGTCAGACGGAGGGAGGAGTGGCGCCATCTAGTGGTGGCAGTGAGCAGCAGCAGTTCCGTGATCGTCAGACGGAGGGAGGAGTGGCGCTGCAGCACGCCGGCCTCCTGACTGCGGCGGCTACGGCCGGCTTCGAGCCGGAGCTGGTGTCCGACGAGGAACTCGGCAGCTTCGCGCAGATCGCCATGGTCGGCGCTGAGGACCTAATGAGTGAGTGCGATTCGGGGGGCGAATCTGTGTCTAGTCCATGTGCGCGTCTTGGTGAAATGTTGAGTGAGTTTGATGATGTATTCAGTGGTCTTGGCCGTACTCAGCTGATTGAGCATAGAATAGTGACTACATCTGACGTGCCTGTGGTAGGGAGACAGTATCGGCTGCCAGTCGCGTATAAAGATAAAGCGCAGACGGTGATTGATCAGATGTTACGAGATGGGGTTGTGGAGCCCAGTGACAGTGATTATATGAACCCCGTGGTGCTGGTCAAGAAGAAGGGCTCAGACGTCCCGCGTGTCTGCATTGATTTCAGGGCACTGAACAGCGTCACAGTGAAGGACCGCCAGCCGGTGCCTCTTGTCGAGGATGTCATCAGGAAGCTGGCGTCTGCTCGGGTCTTCTCACTGGTGGACGCGAAGCAGGGGTATTATCAAATACCCCTCAGAGAAGAGGATCGCAAGAAGACAGCGTTTCAGTTTAATGGGCAACTGCTGCAGTTTACCGTTCTACCGTTCGGTTTGTGCAATGGACCCAGCACGTACAACCGGCTCATGCACCGTATCACGAAGGATTTACCCTGCGTCGCGGCGTACTTTGACGACTGGTGTGTGTTCAGCGGTGATGAGACGGAGCACCTCGGCCACTTGCGTCTTGTGCTCGAGCGGCTGCGGTCCGCCGGTCTGACTCTGAACAGAGACAAGTGCCAATTCATGACGTCATCGCTTGAGTCATTCCTAGGCTTCAGCGTATCTCAGGGATGCATACGACCCACAGAGGAACACAGGCGGACGATCGAAGCAGTCAAGCGGCCAACGAACCAGAAGGAACTGAGGCGGTTCCTTGGACTGTGCGGATTCTACAGAGCTCATGTGCCGTTCTTCAGTCTAACCGCCCGACCACTGCATGACCTGCTGAAGAAGAGCAGCCCGTTTCACTGGGACGGAGCGCATGAGTCGGCGTTCCTTCGTCTTCGGCAGACGCTGATGACGCGCCCCGTGCTGACTATCCCAACAGAGAAGTCAGACTTCACCGTCCGCACAGACGCCAGTCAGGACGGCATCGGCTGCGTTCTCGAGGCGGATGGACGGCCAGTGGAGTTTTCCAGCAAGGCGTTCTCCAAGCAGCAGCGGGCGTACTCCGTCATAGAGCAGGAAGCCTTCGGCATCGTGCATGCGCTGAAGAAGTGGCGTCACCTGCTGCTCGGTCGTCACTTTCGGCTGTGCACCGATCATCGACCTCTGCTGTGGCTCCAGTCAAAGAGGGATCTGTCTGGTCGGCTGGGACGCTGGGCGCTTCTGCTTCAGGAATTCGACTTCACTGTCGACCACATCTCCGGCCAGCAGCATGTAGTGCCTGATGCTCTGAGCCGGTCGGTTCCAGACTCGACTCAGGGAACTCAGAGCCGCAGTCAGGCGGCGAACCAGTCAGCCGCTGGACCCTCAGAAGCGTCACCTGTAGCCCCGATCGGAGCGCCATCTGTGGCCAGTTTGGATGACTGGAAGGTGGAGCTGAGAACTGACAGCAAACTTCAGCAGCTTCAACGACAGCAGCCGTCAGCGTTTAAGGTGAATCAACGCGGCATGCTTTGCCACGTTCATCCAAAGTGGGGAGAGCAACTGGTAGTACCTGCATCACAGAGAAGGGGAATAATCACATCTCTACACGATGAGCCCCTGGCAGGCCACCCTGGATCAAGAAGGACGCTGCATCGCATCCAGGAGCGCTACTTCTGGCCTGGAATGGTGATGGACGTAAAGAAGTACGTGAAGGCGTGTCTGACGTGTTGCCGAGTCAAGGACACGCCGGTGGCGACTGCGCCTCTGTGTCCGGTGGACACAGCATCGCTGGAGCCGTGGCAGAAGGTGGCGCTGGACGTCATCGGTCCTATATCTCCTACGGCTGAGAACGGAGCACGGTTCATTGTGGTCTGTCAGGATTACTTCACGAAATGGCCGGAACTGGTGGCAGTTCCAACCACGGATGCAGCAACGGTAGAACGCTGGCTGCTGGATGAAGTATTCTGCAGATACGGAATTCCAGCTGAGCTCGTCACAGATCAAGGCACGCAATGGATGAGCGCGTCCTTCAAGTCATTTTGTGGGAGACTGGGCATCACACATCGGACCACATCACCGTATCACCCTCAAGCGGATATGGTGGAACGGTTCAACAGGACGCTGCTGAATATGATACGTGCATATCTGGACGACAACAAACAACAGTGGGATCGGAACCTCCAATCACTGGCCTTCGCCTACCGCACGACAATCTGCGAGACGACTCAGGCCACGCCGTTTGAGCTGGTCCAGTGCCGCCGAGCGAGGCTTCCCATCGATGTACTGCACGCGCCGTTGCGCTCACCGGCTGGCTCACAGTTGATGAGTCGGCTCACCGAAGTGCGTGAGGGGGCTCGGCAGGCCTCCAGTCGAGCGGCGGCGGCGCGAGCTGCGACGTATGACAGAGCGAAAAGTGTGAAAGTGCGAACATTCAGAGTTGGAGATCGAGTGTTTTGGAAGCGTCCAATTAATCAGGCGGGTGTGTCGCCGAAACTGCAGCCTATCTGGAGCGGGCCATTTGACGTTGTGGGTCGTGTGTCTGACGTTAACTATCGTATTCGTGATGGACAGGGAAAAACGCTAACCATACATGTCAACAATCTGAAGTTGAGCAATGTCGATAGATCTGTTCAGTCACCGCTGATCCGAGGTCGGGGTAGACCTCGGAGCTAGAAGGTGACTTTAGGGGGAAGGTGTAGTGAATAGTTGTTGGCACCCGCCACTTGGCGGCGCTAGCCTCGTGTCATCTGTGTGACCTTCAATACAGCAGTCGACCGCTACAAAAGCAATTTGCTACCTGCGCCGCGGATCGAGTGAGCGAGAATCATTAAATGATTATGACTAATAAAAATATTTAAATGAAAGGCGTTTTTAAAAACGAGGTTAGTCTGTGCTTTGGAACAAAGAATGCATCAAAGAAAACTTCCTCGGACTGCTATGGACAAAGCACGTCTTTAAGCAGCGACAGTCGGGATAGTGACGCTCGGCCGGTATCGCGGACGTCCCGCACAGCTCAAATCAGTCGTTCTGCTGATATACCCCCAGTCCTCCCCTCTCTCCCCACCGCCCCTCCGACACTCACGAAGTGGAAGTGGTGCGCGGCGCCGCTCGACGACTGGGACGCGTCGCCGGCGTCGTGTCCGTCCAGGGAGGTGTCGGCGGAGGGCGGCGGCCCGCCGGTGCGGCAGACGGTGCACACGTAGGGCCCCGAGGAGCCGGCGCCGGCCGCCGCCAGCTCCGCCTCCGGGTCACAGGTGGTGTGCACGTACCTGGCCGAGCCACGGGCGGGGTCAGCGGCGTGCGGAGCGGCGGCAGCTGCGCGCTGCACCATGGCGCCGAGTCATGGTGTGACGGTGTAAATAACGTTACATGACAGCCATGACAATGACAAACATATATGTGCTGACAAGATGCTGACAAGAATTAGAGTAGCTCAACGGCATATACACTTAAACAATGGCAAGCTCTAGCTAGCGCCAGAAGACCAAGACGCAACGAGTTTAGACCGAGCCCGTTCCTCTCCCAGCAGCCCCCTCCTTCCCACGCGGGATGGGGCGGCACCCACCGTCGGCAGGCGCTGCACTGCTGCATGGTTTTCTGCGCAAAGTGCCGGTAGGCGCGGCCGCACACTGGGCAGCTGACGCCCTTGTTGCGCTGCTGGTAGCACGAGTCGCACACCGAGTAGGTGTTGTGCCACCGGGAGCTGACGCCGGCGCCGGGCGTGCGCGCGCCGCAGTCCGTGCACACGCGGCAGTACTGGCGGAGTAGGGGGTACAGGAGAGGGTGTCAGTTAGTACACCGTGCGCGCGCCGCAGTCCGTGCACACCCGGCAGTACTGGCGGAGTAGGGGGTACAGGAGGGTGTCAGTTAGTACACCGTGCGCGCGCCGCAGTCCCTGCACACCCGGCAGTACTGGCGGAGTAGGGGGACAGGCCGGGAGGGTGTCAGTTAGTACACCGTGCGCGCGCCGCAGTCCCTGCACACCCGGCAGTACTGGCGGAGTAGGGGGGCAGGGGAGGGTGTCAGTTAGTACACCGTGCGCGCGCCGCAGTCCGTGCACACCCGGCAGTACTGGCGGAGTAGGGGGTACAGGAGAGGGTGTCAGTTAGTACACCGTGCGCGCGCCGCAGTCCGTGCACACCCGGCAGTACTGGCGGAGTAGGGGGTACAGGAGGGTGTCAGTTAGTACACCGTGCGCGCGCCGCAGTCCGTGCACACCCGGCAGTACTGGCGGAGTAGGGGGGGGGGCACAGGAGAGGGTGTCAGTTAGTACACCGTGCGCGCGCCGCAGTCCGTGCACACGCGGCAGTACTGGCGGAGTAGGGGGGGGGGGGCACAGGAGAGGGTGTCAGTTAGTACACCGTGCGCGCGCCGCAGTCCCTGCACACGCGGCAGTACTGGCGGAGTAGACACGGAGAGGGCGTCAGTTACACACATAGATGGAGAGCCACATAGTACACTGGGCAGTGGGCAGGGTCGAACGGGCCGAGCGGCGGCATAAGGAAGGCGTCAGTACTAGTAGGCCAGCAGGTCGGTACAGCCCTCAGGTAGTCCTCAGATCTGAGGGCTATCAGATAGCCCTCAGGCAGCCCTCAGACAGCCCTCAGACAGTCCTCAGATAGAACGGACGCCCACAGATAACCACTTGCGAAAGGCGAGCGAACGACTGCAGCGAACGAACCGAAGGACACGGACGAACGGTCGGCAGGACCGTGGACAGTGATGAGCGACCACACAGTGACGGGACTGCCCACTGCTCCGACAGTGACCCCGGTTTGGTGAACAAATCTGATGAAAGAGCTGTCAGGTGTCACTGTCCATTAGCCGTCATATTTGCAACACTTCCACAAATCACGTCAACCACAACGAATTTTCCTTTTAGCTCGGTCATCCAAAGTTCAGCAGCATCATGAACACTTGACTCGCGTCAATCACTATATCCCGGCTGGGTCCAAATAGCAGGTGTGTCACAGAGCCATGTCCCGAAGCTGTGTTACATCTTCCCTCTCTAGCACAGTACTGGAGCCAAACAGTACCATCCGCGTCCCCGGACCGGTCAGTCTCTCCCCACCACCCGCCTCCCCAGCCTGCCGGCCCCTTCCGCCTCTCACCCGGCACTTCCAGCCGCTCTTGGGCAGCGAGCCGAGCGCCGGCCGGGCGCAGTAGATGTGGAAGGCCCGGTCACAGGCGTCGCAGCACAGCTGGCGACCCTCCTCACCCGGCTGCCGGCAGTGCTGGCACACCTTGCAGCCGGGACACTGCCAGCCGGCGCGGATATCTGCGGACGGAGCAGAGATGTCAGAGGGTTCAGTGAGGTCAGAGGGGTCAGTGAGGTCAGCCGGGACACTGACAGCCGGGACACTGCCAGCCGGCGCGGATATCTGAGGGAAGGTCAGGGAGGTCAGAGGGGTCAGAGAGGTCAGACTGCACACCTTGCAGCCGGGACACTGCCAGTCGGCGCGGATATCTGCGGAGAGGGCAGGGAGGTCAGCTGGGACACTGCCAGCCGGGACACTGCCGGCAGTGCTGGCACACCTTGCAGCCGGGACACTGCCAGCCGGCGCGGATGTCTGCGGAGAGGGCAGAGGGGTCAGAGGGGTCAGCCGGGACACTGCCAGCCGGGACACTGCCAGCCGGCGCGGATATCTGCGGAGAGGGCAGGGAGGTCAGAGAGGTCAGACTGGACACTGCCAGCCGGGACACTACCAGCCGGGACACTGCCAGCCGGCGCGGATATCTGTGAGACGGAGCAGAGATGTCAGCCGGGACACTGCCAGCCGGGACACCTTGCAGCCGGGACACTGCCAGCCGGCGCGGATATCTGAGGAGAGGTCAGGGAGGTCAGAGGGGTCAGAGAGGTCAGAGGGGTCAGAGAGGTCAGAGAGGTCAGAGGGGTCAGACTGGACACTGCCAGCCGGCGCGGATATCTGTGGGACGGAGCAGAGAGGTCAGAGAGGGCAGGGAGGTCAGAGGGGTCAGACTGGACACTGCCAGCCGGGACACTGCCAGCCGGGACACTGCCTGCCGGGACACTGCCAGCCGGCGCGGATATCTGAGGAGAGGGCAGGGAGGTCAGAGGGGTCAGAGAGGTCAGACTGGACACCGCCAGCCGGGACACTGCCAGCCGGAGCGGATATCTGGGAAGAGAGCCAAGTCAGGGGGTTAGCATGAGGTCAGAAGGTCACCTGAGTCGGGACCTCATAACTCGGGGAAGCCAGTCAGCAGAGGTACAGGGAAAGGATTACCGTTGACTGGGAAAACTGACTAGGAAGTCAGCAGAGAGCGGATGGTAAATGAGCGGTGTCGCTGTGAGACCAGTGCACTGCTGACAGGCAGGCTTGTGGACAGTCACGGCACACCTCTGGCGCACCAGACTGACTGGCAAACACACGGCACACAGAGTCGGGACAACTCACTGGGGTTGTCGGGCAGCGGCGGCGTGGTGCAGTCCACGTGGAAGTGGGTTCCGCACGACGAACAGAACAGCATCGAGGCCATCTTCCCCGAGTCGTCGCAGTTGATACACGTGTCCTTGCCCTCTGTGGACAGAGAGCAGTCGGACGTCTTAAATGTGAGGAAGGAGCGCATTTCAACAAATGTTCACGACGGTTTAAACTGCCCCGGTACGAAGCTGGTGCCGTTGACGTGTCATTTGGCACATCCAGAAGCCTTTCACGTGACAATAACAAGCATTAAAGGCAAAAATGTTGGCGAACCGACCCATCCTCTGTCTAACTGGACTATGAGACAATTTACATCTCGTTCTCCAGCTTGTTCTACAGTTTGACACAAGACATCGCGGCGCAACGGATGGCGAAGTCTCAACAGAGGGGTAACACGTAGGGGTAACACCGAGGGGGTAACACGGACAAGGTAACACGGAGGGTAGTCTCACCTGGTGGCACCCGGTCCAGGTGGGTGAAACACCACACCTGGTGGTGGTTGATGTTCTGGAAGGCGGCCGAGGCGGCGGCGCACGGCATGTGAAACACGGCCGGACACTCGTCCACCGCGCAGTAAAGGGACGCGCCGAACCTGGGGACACAGCAGGTCACAGGTCAGGGCAGGTCATGGCCGGCCTCGTTCCATCATAGTCTGACAAGCAATAGCTTTGATACAACTACAACTAAATATGTACAATATGTTGACTCATTCATCGTGTTCAAAATAAAATTGAAAAATATGAACGTTGAAAATTAGTGTAAGTCTTTCAACATTCAAATTTCGCTCAATTCAGCTCTTCTCCCTCTCCTCGCGTCTCCCGTCAGACCCACCGGTGGCAGTAGTGGCAGCGCACGTTGGCGGCGGCCGCCACGGCCCGGCCGACGCCCTCCAGGGTCACGCCGCCGTCCTCTGAGCGCACGCCGCGCGACCACAGCGCGCAGCCGGCGTGCACGAAGCACGCGCCGGCCTCGTCGCGCAGCAGCTCGGCCGGCGGCGGCGCCGCGTACCCGACGGCGGCCAGCTCGTCACAGCCGGCCTCGTCGGCCAGCAGCGCCTCCTTGCGCGGCGAGCCGCACGTCTTCTCTCTGCGGCAGCAGCGGCGGGCGGGGGCGGTCAGGGATGGGCGGTCAGACAGCTGGTGTTGTATTGTTGGTTAGGAGATATACAGAGTGACACAAAAAAACCGTCATCACCAAATTTCGAATAACTTCGGAATTCTTATTCAGATCATCACCAAACTTCGGCCACTTAAGGTCACACCTATGTAGCATACATCCACCAAGTTTCAAGTTTTCACTACGAATACTTTTAGTACAGTGTGTGCTTTACTGACGTTCCACAATGTGCTCCAGGTGAGCGCCACGGCGCTGCAGGGCGTAGGCACACTTGCATCCGGCGGGCAAAGTTGTCGATAACCCGATAGCTGTGCACTTTACAGAGTGCAATGGCCTCTGGAGACAGTGCTCAGGTGGTGTGCTACCCCTGAAACGTTATTCTTATCGGGTTATCGGCAACTTTGCCCGCCGGATGCAGGTGTGCCTACGCCCTGCAGCGCCGGGGCGCTCACCTGGAGCACATTGTGGAGCGTCCGTAAAACACACACTGTACTAAAAGTATTCGTAGTGAAGACTTGAAACTTGGTGGATGTCTGCTACATAGGTGTGACCTAAAGTGGCCGAAGTTTGGTGATGATCTGAATAAAACTTCCGAAGTTATTCGAATTTTGGTGATGACCGCTTTTTTGTGTCACCCTGTACTTTGGGGCAGCGAGAAGGTTACCAGAGTGGGACGATACCCAGACATAGGAAATGATGTTTGTCAGTTGACAAATATCAGACGATGTGATGCATATATAGTCGGTCACAGATAAATCTACTACGAAGCTGGTTCTAAAAGATATGGTTAAAAAAAAACGCCGGAATCGGTCAGTATTTTAAAAAAGCAGAAAAATCAACAAAAAATGTTAGTACGTCCAGCTAGGATACTGGCTAGTGAGAGCGTTGGGATTTCCAGTAACTAAGCAGCATGGCGGTGCGAATGGTGCTCGCATCTACTTCTACTGAACAGCTAAACGAAAATGACCACAACGCTTCTTAAGTACGAATAAACCACGCATCACACTGACAACACCACTCACTGCACCCACTTTTTGACGATGGTCTTCAGAATGGACTTTCGGTCAGGGTCGGCGGCTGCGGTGGCCTCGGCTCCGTCGCCGCCGGCCGGGGCCAGCTGCACGCAGCGCATCTCTCCCTGACCCAGCACGCTGCGCTCGCTTAAGTTACAGAGGGCGCACACCTTGCCCGGCCTGAGGAGACGCGAGACGTGACAGGTTACACTAACTACTGACAGGGCGGCGGGCGCACACCTTGCCCGGCCTGTGGAGACGCCCGCCGTGAGAGGGTGGAGCAGGTTATACTACTGAGGGGGCGCACACCTTGCCGGGCCTGTGGAGAAGCGCGCCGTGAGACCGGGACGGAGACGGGCAGCCCGGACTGTTTCGGAGGATGAATCCGTCAATGATTGGGAATTAAGAGGCGGGGAAGCCGCCGCTCTGAGGAGTGATGACGACAGCTGGTGGAAGGAGACTTTCGAAGACTCGCATCCTAATGGTGCGAAGCTTGGTCGAATTAATATAACTACGTACTACAATGCATTGCTCTTTTCTGCGGAACGTTCACAGCTAAAACGAAACTATTTGAAAAGCTACATAGCAATTTTGATTTCCAATGATCTGCAGTTTTACAACTTTGACAAGTAATATGGCAAAGCGTCAATCAGTGAGCATTGAGAAGGAATGAGCGATTAAAAACTACGTTCACACGAGATTTATCAGCCGTTTACCTCTCGCTCGCATGCTATAAAAACATCCCCCAGCCGCACCCTTACCGCACTACCACTAGACTACTCGACTACTTTTCTACTCCTCTTCCCATTCCCTCACGGGCTCTACACCACAGAGGATTCTACGCTCCCGCAGTGGCCGTCGCCGCCGCTCACCACTGCTCGAGGAAGACGAGCGACTCGTCGCAGCTGGCCGACCGGTCCAGCGAGCTCTGCACTGAGCTCGAGTCGGAGCCGTCGTCCTCGGCGTCGCGCGAGCTGTCGCCCCAGGGCTCGGCCAGGCCGCCCACCGGCAGCGGGGACACCAGCGGCTCCGAGCGGCGCCGGCTGCGCGCGCCGCCACGGCCGCCGCCGCGCACGTACGTCCCGCTGCGGGCACCGAGAGGGCTGGTTATACCGGGGCGGACAGGAACAGTGGAAAATCTTGAAGGGTAATAATTTCACGCATGAGCGACATCAATGTACAGGGCAAAGTGCCTACTGTAATCCATATTCATCAATTGAGAAACATATATTCAACCAAAAATCATAAACATTTCAAATGTGCAGACCCTACCGACAATCTGATCGTGAATCATGAACAAATGCTCCACGGGGAGAAGTTTGCTCCGCTCCCGATGCTCCATCGCTCGGTGGTTACCTGCTGAGCCGTTTGAGTTTGAGTCCGATGGTGCGCCGCTGGTCGACGGGGCTGACCAGGTCCTTTTTGGGCCGGCCGGGGCCGCGTCGCAGCGCGCCCGGCGACAGGTAGCCGGCCGGCTGGTGGAACAGCTCGCCGCCAGAGCCGCCCGCCGACGCCGCGTCTGGGCACCGGGAGACGGTCACATGAACGGGGCACACAGCACGGAACACGGCCGGCTGAGACACGGTCACATACCGGGTAAGACACGACACACACACACACACACACACACGATCTGACAGCAGTGAGGGAGTGTCCGCAGCCAGCTGTATGGAACTTGTGACAGTGATTAAGAGATGAGATAGGAACTGTTGTATTACTGTCACAGAAGTTGTTTTCATATGTTTGCAATTTGTTTTACCTTGTCATCGTTAATGATTTCCACACAACGTAATACTATCATTCGCCTGTATTGGCCTTTTTATAGCGTCCAGCGTATGGGGGAGGGGGTCCGGCCGATAGATCCCCTGCCCTTCGGCCCCTGATCTAGCTAATGCTTCGCTGAAAAAGACGAATGTGTTGCCAAATGTCAGTGACGAGGGGAAGCCGATGCTACCAAATTTGTTTAAGTCCTACGTCATTGGTTGACCTTCCAGGTCAGGTCAATGAACCAAAAGTTGGGAAAATCGGGATCACCTGATAAAGCATCGTAGTTGGTGAGGTTGTTATTGTTTTTTTTTAGGGAGACCTGATTACGAATTCCAATAAGTCTTATCAAAGACGATATCAAAGATTATCAAAGACGATGCATTCATGCATTTGAGTTGAGGTAGGTCGGGTCAGGTCAGGTCAGGTCAACCAGTAGGCGTCTTGCCAGCTATCCATAGTAGGTGTCAACCGCTTCGTTACATGTAACTAGGCACCAAAACTACTTCGTAAATGTTCAAATGGGTGCTAAATTTGAAATTAGCTCCAGAAACTGCCCTGGAGACATCTAAAGCTATAAAAGTCAGCCAAAGTCATCTAAGGTCAATGACCATGACCTGACCTTCACGTGACCTTGACAATCACCATAATGCATGGGACAAATAACATTTCATATGTGGAACGTTGGAACGCTTACAACCACAAGAAGTCTAGAAACGCGCGGAAAATGTGCGATGACATAAGACGAATCGCGATTCAGGTTTGACATGGTCTCGTGAAACAGATCACAACTCAAAGATCATTTGGGTCAGGGTCGTTAAATTTTCAGGGTACCTAGGTGTAAAATTAATCAACTCGAAGGTACTGAAAGTTTCCTCGCGATCAGCTGCTTGAAGCGTTAAGTTATTCGCGAAATACCGAGGCAGGTTCCGTCCCCCCCCCCCCTCGGGTGTAAGTTGCGAGGGCTAACGAGGGTTAACCCTCGACTAATGGAGCCCCTCCCCTCCCGGTTTTTCACGAACAACTCGTGCGAAAAGCAGCCGATCGCAACGAAGCTTTCAGTACTCTCGAGTTGATCAATTTTGCACCTACCCTGAAAATTGCATGACCCTAACCCACATGACCTTTGACCTGTGACCTATTTCTCGAGACCATGTTTGGCCGGAATCGCGATTCGGCGTATGTCGCCTAATTATTCGCGCATTTTCCCGTCTTTTATTGTTGTAAACGAACATGTGAAATGATATTGGTCCAATGCATTATGTTGTGTGTCAAAATCACGTGAAGGTCAGGTCAAGGTCATTAACCTTTGATGATCTCGGGTAGTTTAGGAGCTGATTTCGAACTTAAGGCCGCCCCACACTGGACCTCGCATGCGGGTTGCGGGTTTTTGGGTTTTCGGGTTTCTTCAAAATTAAATAATGCAATCTATGCTGAGTGACCCACACTACCATCCAACAAGCGAATCTGCATGTTTTTAGCTTGCGAGCCACCTTGCATCGCATTCCAAAAGTTGACTTTGAGTCAACTTTCGATTTTCCTCGCTGCGAGATCTGCGAGTTCTGCGAGGGTTGCGGGTTTCTCATTGGAGTCGAATTTTGGTTCGTTGCGCTGGTATTGCGACCATATTTAATTTTCTGAAGGTGTACCGGCTTCACCGCATTCATGAAGTTACCATAAGGGGACGGTCTAATCACTCTATGAATTAGTACTATGCCTGCAAACTCGAAACCCGCAACCCGCATGCGAGTTTCAGTGTGGGGCGGCCTTTACCATCCATTTGAACATTTACGAAGAAGCTTCGGTGCCTTCGTAACATGCCACGAAGCTGTCAACTCATTGGTGGTTGGCATCCACTACGGAAAGCCAGCATGACACCTACTGCAGGTTGACCTGACCTGACCTGATCCGATCTGTCCCAAATGCATAAAGACATCATCTTTGATCAAAACTGACATGAAATTCGTGATCAGCATCCCGGAAAAAAAAACTTCACAGCCTCCTTTTACGAAGTTCCAACAGGTCCCGATTTTCCCGACTTTTGGGTCATTGGCCTGACCTGGAAGGTAAACCAAATACCTTCCAGGTCATTGGCCTGACCTTTTTTTATAAATTTAGCTCGAATGTTTGAATGGACGGATTGACAGAGCCGGAGTCCACGCTAAGCAGAGCTTGTTCCGTAGACCCCGACCCCTACCATCCGATCGCGCAATTCCGGGTAACGGGAGAATTTAGATGCCAAAGTTTTACGTGCCCTTCAAAGCCGGACACGGCCTGTCCCACTCAACTGACTTCAACTGGCTGCAGCTGCTCCCACCAACCGCAGACCATCCCCGTCAGGAGTCTCAAATATCGAGCGCCGGAGCGTCTCGAACCCGGGCTCTCACTACCGGGAGTCCAATGCTCTACCAACTGAGCTACGGGACAGGCGACCTAGAAGGTAAACCAATGACCTAGGGCTTAACAATTAGGTATCATCGGCTTCCTCTCGTCACGGGCAGCACGCTCGTTTTTTCCGCGAAGCTCTAGCTCGATCAGGGGCTGAACGGCAAAACTCCTCCTCCGCCCCCCCCCCCCTCTATACTTTCGCGGCTGGCAAAACTCCAATACGGACGAGGGTTACAGGGCAAGCGATAAAGTTGCAATAAATAAACATTTTCGTCAAAAACTGTTTTGTGTGATATCTGAAATGGTACCTAATTCAAACCTTTCCTGCAGTATCAAACGTGGAGAATGGTACACAGGTTCTTGTTACGATCTGACCAAACCAAAGACAATGTAGGCAGTGTAGTAACTAGTTTTTAAATGACGCTCCAGCTCACCCATGTCGGAGGTGGGCGGCTCGGGGATAGTGACGCTGATGGCTCCCAGCGGGCGGCCGGTGGGCGCCGGCGGCGCCGGCGGCAGGATGGGCGGCGGCGGCGGCGGCGCCGCCGACCGGGCCGCGCCACCTGCCGCGGCGGCGGCGGCTGCAGCTGCCGAGTGCTGCTCCTCAGACATCCTGCAGAAGGAGAAGACAGCTGTTAGATTGATATGCTGCAAAGGGCACCTTTGAAAATACTATTTAAGTCAACATCAACAGGCCATTTTTGTAATAGTTTTAGTAGACTGATCTTCCCTGGCTTATCAGGGTTAACAAATATATATGCCACTTCTATATCTTCAACTAGCAAGCCTCCCTCATGATGGATAAGTAGGTAGTACACAATGCCAATGAACCATGCAGAATGAGCCATGTACTGTAAATCACATCATGCAAACATGCAGGCATCTACTTTATCAAAATGAAAAGCACATCCTTACTTGAACTATAGTTCATGTTTTCCAAAGTTAGGCTCCTAGTATATTTCTCTACTTAGCACACTCTAGCCAGCAAACTGGGCAAAAATAAACCTGAGGAAAGTTAACATAGCCTAGCTTCATTATATGAATAACTCCTTATAACTGCATTTATAAATTTTGGAACTATATCTTACAACAATGAGACATCAGATAGGTACTATCTGATGTTGTAGAACTTGCATGGCAATGTCATGCATAATTAGTTTACCATGGACAGATCTGCTTACTTGATTCTGACCTCAGTGACACAAAAGCAAAGTCTACCTTAAATTCATTGACATTTTGAGCCATCGTAAAGACATCAGGTGCCAGCTGCCTGTTGCAGCCACTCAAGCCAGTGATGTCATCATAGTATGCTCATTTTTGGGATGACTGTGAAAACAGGGCGCCTGGGGCGATTTAATCCAGGCTCTTGAAATTCACTCGCACAAACCACGTGACAACCACAGTGTAGAAGACGTAGAGAGGGGAAAACTTCTCAATAGCCATGTGACCAAATATGCCCTCAGCCGCCCTGTTTTCACTGGTGTCCCACTATTGCTTAAACTATTTCCATGTGCTTTATAAGAAAAATGATAAATAATGGCAGATCTTTTTTTTGAAAAGATGCAAATGATGCCAAAACCCATGCTAGTAGCTTCCACAATGGAGTTGAGACATGCTGAACAAGATTCGGTATTAGTATATATTAGGTCCGAGTGGACAATTGTGACGCTGTTGATACAAATATGTAACATCAAAAATTTTAGGTTTTAGGTTAGGTTAGGTTGTAGGTTTGTAGGTTTGTAGGTTTTAGGTTTTAAGTTGTAGGTTTGTAGGTTAGGTTAGGTTAGGTTGTAGGTTTGTAGGTTGTAGGTTGGTAGGTTGTAGGTAAATAGGTAAGGTTAGGTCAGGTTTGATTATGTTTTTCTTTGATTTCCAGGACATATACGTATCATTTTTGGATTCAGGATGTCAAATAATGTAAGAATATGAAAACTATCTTTTAACAGTCACTCGGACTTAATGTATACTTTTACCCAAGATTCAAGCACAGAAATGTGTATTAGCACACTTCCTCATATATTCATTTCATGCCATAGTTGAAGAAGTTTGAGTTGAGCTCAGCCTTCTCATACCAATAACAATAATGATAATGGATCCTTGAAATTCAAGATTACATTACTTGTAAGATTTATACAGGCGATGTCATCATCTTCATTTCCGTTTCTGCACTATGAAGTTTGAGTTGCCATGATTCGCTTGAAATTACGAAAATCCGCCCAACACTGGCATAATTACCACCATAAAATATAAAACAATAAAAACTTCCTACACAATGAATTTGTCGACAACTACGACGCAGCGTCGTTCACCATTTGTCGATCAATCGATCACTAAACTACTGCTGTAAATTTTTAGGATGCAAATGACGTATTTGTAAACTATGTCATAAAAAATTAAAAATTGAAAATTATTCAAATGTAAACATGTGAAAAATTGTGCAATTAAGTATTATCAAATTTAATAACTTTAGCTTTTATTTAGAATTTGATGATTTCACCACAAAAAGAGCATAGTCTTTTTACAGTTACCATTAGAAATAGTCTGTGTTTTTAGTTTCACTAAATTATGACAATAGTTACGCAGTACAGGCAAAAGCTGCGCAAAGGAATTTTGCGAGATGTAGGTAACATTCGTGTGCGAGACGTCGGCGGAGGGGAGCTCGAGTTTAGCTGCGATCTCTCGCGCGTTACTGAGGGTGTTGGAGTTTGGGTACATTGGTTTCTATTTTTTGTTTCGTTTGCAAGGCAAGTTCTTTCTTTGAAGTAAGAGGTGATGCAGTGATGGATCGGAGGCGGCCCGTAAAGCGGGTGCGACCTGACGAGTTTTTCTTTGACGGAGGAGAGTCCAACAACACAGGGTCTTTCTTGAAGGTAAAGTTGTTATCTGATGTTTCATTTAAATCAAAGGGATGGCCTTGGGTTCAGCTCGGAATCAGAGGGATACTGGGACCTGATGATAGGTTGGCTAAAGCTAGCCTCTTGGCTGATGGTGGGCTGCTGATGAGGACAAAAAATGAGTCTCAGACTTCCAAGCTTCTGAAAGTTCAAATGTTTGCAGGTGAGGAGTGTCAGGTGATCAGGGATGAACGGCTCAACACCTCCAGGGGTATCATGCGGGCCCACGACCTGATGGAACTGTCTGAGGAGGAAGTAGCTGGGTGGTTGAAAGAGTTTGGTGTCACAAAGGTCAAAAGGTTCACAAGGAAGGTCAATGGGCGCACTGAAAGGACAGCAACACTCCTTCTAACTTTTGATACCCCCACCTGCCCTTCTAGGATTTCTTTAAACTATGTCACTTACAAAGTTGACCAGTACATCCCAAATCCAATGATGTGTTACAAATGTGGTTAATTTGGCCATTCTGAAACGACATGCAAGGATGATCGTGTGTGTCTTGTCTGTGGGGAACCGAGTCATGAGGGAGAGTGCACTCCAAAGTGCATCAACTGTGGCAAGAGTGGCCACTCCTGTCAGGATAGGAGGTGTGAGATATGGGTCAAAGAGAGGGCAATATGTAGAATGAAAGTAGAACAAGACATTTCCTTTGGGGAGGCGAGGAAAAAATTTGAGGAACAAGCACAGAAACAGAGTCCAAAATCATATTCTGAGGTCCTTAAGGTACCACAGAGCTCATCCCCACAGGAGGAGGAACTGAAAACCAGGGTGGGTAAGCTTGAAGATGCAGTGACAGAGCTGGTAGGTTTGCTCAAGCAGGTTCTGGGCAAACAATTGGATCCCAAAGGCACAGACAAGGAGACAGAGTCTGCCTGCATCACTGACAGCGGTGCACAGGGTGTAGAGAGTAGTGGTGAGATTTCATGCATAGAGACAGAGAGTGATTCTATGGAGGTTCAAAAACATGGTGATGTCGACTCAGATGAAAGACCAGTGACTGGCTTTGACAAGGAGATTGGGAAGTGGCAAACTGTGAGGAAGGGCAAGGGAAAGAAGGGAGGCAACATGCCTGTCCTTCCAGCACTGACTGGGGATGACGAGATTTCGCCGTCCCCCGAGCTGACTCGATTCACTCGAGCCCCAGGGCGAGGTGAACGTGGTCGGCTCAAACCAATGCAGCGGGCCCAAAGTGCTTCGCGACTTCCTTCGTCCAAACAGTGTTGGCAAAACAATTCCCATCCCCCCAACTCTTAGACAATACCCAGCAAAAGCATCATTTCTGTGTTTGTGGTTTTTTCTGGCAAATATCGAACAATTATTTCCAGTGATTTCAGTTGCCTGCGTTTGTCGCAGGTTTTAGTCGGTACCCAGATTATGTATTATTTATTTCCTTATCCTGATTTGCATCTGGTGTCTGGTTTCAGTATCTCATGTGTTATATTTGATTTTGTGGTGGTCGTCGTCAGTCTGCCAGGCGATCCTTTTTTGGGTCGGTTTGGCGGCGGGGCTGACGAAACGGGCGTGTTCTGTCGGAGCCGGGATGGTTCGACCGGCGCCCGGGGCAGTGGGATGGGTCACGTGACCCGATGTTATCGCGAGGTCGGCGGGCCGGCCCCGGGGCTAGGCGTGGGCCCGGTCCTGGGGCGCGGCGTGAGCCCGACCTCAGAGCCGAGAACGAGCGCAAAGGTGACCTTGACCGTGCTGGGTTCTTTTCTGTCGAATAGTTAGTTAGAAACAGCGTTATGGTTAATAGTGTGAGGAGTTTTACCATCATGCAATGGAATGCTCGTGGAATGATTGGAAAATGGCCGGAGATTAAACCTGTGCTACTGGAAAAAGGCAAAGATGTGATTTGCATCCAAGAGTCACATTTTCTCCCTAATGATCCTTATGATTTCCGCCTTAATAATTACACGCTTTATAACGCATTTCCCAAAACGGACAGGAGACAGGGAGGAGTCAGTATTTATGTTAACAATAAACATCCCCATTGTCAGATAAATCTGAATACTTGTCTACAAGCTGTTGTAATATCGGTCCCAACTGGCAGATGTCGGCTGTGTATTTGTTCGTTGTACCTTCCGCCGAACGAGCGTCTTTCGCAGCAGGTTCTCAGTGGTCTGGTGAGCCAGCTGCCACAACCTTTTATTATATGTACAGACGCTAACAGCCGACATTACATGTGGGGCGCAGATCGATGTGACCAGAGAGGAGTCATATGGGAACGAGTTATTCGTCAACACGCACTGAATATTCTTAACGATGGCAGCCCGACACGGCTCGATGAATACTCTGGACTATGGTCCCATATTGATTTAACATTGAGCACGGGTAATATAGGTCAGTACTTGCAATGGTGTACCGACTCTGATCTATATTCCAGTGATCATTGCCCAATATACATAACATTTGATCTGCCTGGAACTGACACCCGTCGGAACACAGATTTCACGGGATGGAATACTAATAAGGCCAACTGGTCTGAATTTACTGAGAAGTGCGACTTACGATTTTGTGAAGGATTAGGAATGGAAAACTGCACAGCTATGACCGAAGCCTTACTGAGGGCTGCGGAGGATAGCGTACCTATGAAACGGAACAACTCAAAGTACACTTGTCCATGGTGGACTGAGGAATGTAAAGAGGCGATTCGTAGTCGGCGACGAGCACTCAACCGGTTTCGTCGTAGCCACCAAACTTTACACCTCATGGAATATAAAGCTGCTAAAACAAGAGCAAGGCGAATTATTAGACAGGCAAAACGGGACTCTTGGGAGAAACTGCTACATATGTTCAAACATACCACCCCTATGCGACAACTATGGGACATAATACGGCGTTTTACAAAGAAGGAGCGCTACCAGCGGCCATTGCCCGTATTATGCATCAATGGCAATATGACAGACGATCCCAAAGAAGTCGCTGACGTGCTCGGGAATTTCTTCTCGGGGATGTCGGCGTCCATTAATTATAGAGCTGCCTTTAGGGAAAGAGAGAGTGTTTTGTGCGGTAGACCGCGCCCAAAGCCAGGGCCCCGGGTAGCCGGGTCGGGGCAGCCTGCGCTGACCCAAGCCGGGGCCGCGCGTCTTCCCGGTGTCATGGATAGCCTGGGGCTGCGGTGGCGTCAGCGCTCGGGCCGAGGACGGCCTGTGTGTCGGCAATAAACAGTCTGGAACCGACTGAGCGTCTGTGTACTTCAGTGGCGACGAGGACCGAACTCACGTGTGGTATGGCGCTGGCCCGGGCGCCCGAGTTCGACGCGGGTGTTGAGTGTTTCGGTGGTTATACTCGGAGGCTGGAACAGTATTTTGTGGCGAACGATGTTGACGCGTCACAACACGTGAAACGCCGCGCGATTTTCCTGAGTGCTATCGGGCCGGTGACGTTTGCGCTGTTGGAGGATTTGATCGCTCCGGCCTCAGTGACAGACGTGAAGTATGGAGACCTGGTAAAGGTGCTGTCGGAGCATTTTGAGCCGTCGCCGTCTCGGATCTTGGCACGTTACCGGTTTCATACGTGTGATCGCGAGGACGGTGCGTCAGTCTCAGCTTATGCTGCGACTCTGAGGCGACTGGCGCGGCCATGTCAGTTCAGCGCGGAGGTGCTCGACGAAATGCTCCGAGATCGGCTGGTCTGTGGAATCCGGAATCCCAGACTTCAGTCCAGACTGCTCAGCACGGAGGATCTCACTCTCAGCTCTGCGCTCGCGATCGCTCAGGCGTTCGAATCGGCGGCTGCCAACGCCAGTGAGCTGAATCGCAGCAGTCCCGTGTCATCAGAGCGAGCGGATCTGCAGCCCGTCCATCGGGTGGAGGAGCGCCGACCGCGGCAGAGTCCGTCCCGAGTGGCGGCGACGGGTGGCGCTCGAGCTCAGTGTCACCGCTGCCGGCAGAGAGGACACGAGCCGGCCGTGTGTCCGTTTCGCTTCCGGCGCTGTTTTTCTTGCGGGGAGGTGGGTCACTTGCGAGTGGCCTGCCGACGGCGCACGCCGGCGGTCCGGGCGGTTCAAGTGGAGTCGGCAGAGCATTCCACAGCTTCCGGTGCAGCTGCGGCGGAGCCGGGGAGCCCGGAGAGAGTGGAGGAGGATGTGTATGCTCTGTTCGGAGTCTACAGTGCCGGTGTCTCGCCGCTCTCGGAGGCCGCGGCCGCTCGCTCGGAGGACACAGTCGAGCGGTGCGCAGCTGGTGGCGGCGTGAGTATGGGCGCTGCTACGTTTGCTGCGAGTGAACCCCACGGGGGTGGCTCCGATGAGCCTATGGTCGGCGCTCTTGCTTCTGGCGCGGCGGCGGCGGCAGCTGGCAGTGGCGCGGGGCGCTCGGCTGATCGTGAGTCTGCCGGCGGGCCCGGCGGCGGCGTGCAACGCACGGAGGGAGCTGAGGGAGTGGCACCGAGGCGGCCTCAGCGCTGCGGGCCGTACATCGTTCCGGTGCGGCTGAACGGCAAGTTGCTGGAGATGGAGCTCGACACGGGAGCTGCCGTCTCCGTCTGCTCGGAGCGCGCGTTCAAGAGGCTCTGGCCGACCGGCGGTCCGCCCATGGAGCGCTGTGAGCAGACTCTGAAAACATATAGCGGTGAACCGATCGGTGTGTGCGGTCAGGTGATGGTCGATGTGCAGTATGGTGACACATCGGTCCGTGTGCCGCTCGTGATCGTTCGCGGTGGCGGTCCGTGCCTGTTCGGGCGTGATTGGCTCGCTCGCATTCGGCTGGACTGGTCGTCAGTGTGCGTCATGGCGGCCAGCTCGCGGGTGGACGCGGTGCTGGCTGAGTTCCCAGACGTGTTCGACGGGGAGCTGGGATGCTTCAGAGGTGAGCCGGTCACGGTGGATGTCGATCCAGACGTCCAACCCCGGTTTTTCAAACCGCGCGTCGTCCCGTTGGCGTATCGGGATCAAGTGGAGCAGGAGCTGGATCGGCAAGTGAAACAAGGACTCTGGGAACCCGTCGCACATAGTAAGTGGGCTGCACCGCTCGTGGTGGTGCCTAAGGCTGGGGGAAAGGGTGTGAGGTTGTGTGGCGACTACCGCTTGACTGTGAATAAGGCGGCTAGGGCAGATCAATACCCCCTCCCTCGCATCGAGGATTTAATGTCGCGACTGACCGGGGGGACAGTGTTCTCGAAATGTGACCTTAAGTCAGCGTACAATCAGCTGGTGTTGGAGAAAGAGTCGCGTCAGTATCTCTCTCTGAACACGCCCCGCGGCTTGCTGCGGCCGACCAGGCTCAGTTTTGGGTACTCGGCAGCGCCGAGTTTGTTCCAGCGGACGATAGAGACGTTGTTGGCTGGCATCGAGGGCGTGGGAGTCTTTTTAGATGATGTGATCATCACCGGCCGTGACATGGAGGCGCATAACCGTGCCCTCCGGGAGGTTCTGCGGCGGTTCAGTGACGCCGGCCTCCGAGTAAACCGGGACAAATGCAGTTTCGGCGTGCCCAGTGTCGAGTATCTGGGGTTCAGGATCAGCGCGCGCGGTGTCGAGACGACTGAGGAGAAGGTATCTGCCATCCGTAACGCGCCGGAGCCGCAGAACGTCTCGAAGTTGAGATCGTGGCTCGGTCTGATCAACTATTATGCAAAGTTCATACCGAACTTGGCGTCCGTGCTCTCACCCCTGTACCGCTTACTGCGACGTGATGCACCGTGGGTGTGGTCTGAGACCGAGATGCGTGCTTTTCAGACAGCAAAAGAATTGCTGCTGAAACCCGCAGTACTGGCTCATTTTGACTCGTCCCTCCCCGTGGTCCTGACGTGCGACGCCAGCCCCGTGGGAATCGGGTGCATTCTGAGCCAGGTACATGGTGACGGCGAGAGACCGGTGGCATTTTACTCCCGATCTTTGAACAGTACAGAGGCTCGTTACTCACAGACGGACAGGGAGGGCCTGGCTGTGGTGAGCGGGGTCAAGAAATTTAATTATTTCTTGGCCGGTCGGTCATTCGTGATCCGCACGGACCATAAACCTCTGTTGGGACTGATTGGGGAACAGAAGTCGCTTCCGGTGATGGCATCGCCCCGTGTGATGCGATGGGCGATGCTTCTGGCGGGGTATGATTACCGGCTGCAGCACGTGGCGGGTAGTAAAATACCTCACTGTGACGCGCTGAGTCGGCTTCCCGTGCCGTGTCTGTCAGCAGAGTCTCCGTGTCCCGCTGAGCTCATAAACTTACTTGAGTTTCTCAACTCCTCGCCGGTCACCGCAGATCAGATCCGTCTTTGGACCGCCAGAGACCCGACGCTGTCCCAGGTGTATCAGTTTGTTCAGAACGGCTGGCCAGAGGTGGACGTAGAACAGGTTGAGCTCCGTCCGTATAAGGCGCGGTTAGGAGAACTTAGCCTGCAGGACGGGTGTGTGATGTGGGGGTCTAGGATCGTCATTCCGCGGCAGGGCCGGAAGGCGGTCTTGGAGTTGATACATGAGGGACATAATGGGGAGAGCAGGTCCAAATCGTTCGCACGCATGTACGTTTGGTGGCCCGGGATGGATGGCGAGATCACGGATACGGTGCGTAAGTGTGTCGCGTGTCAGTCGCAGCGTAACCGAGAGCCTAGCTCGCCGCTGCACCCGTGGGCCTGGCCGGCTGCCCCGTGGGAGCGTGTTCACATGGATTTCTGTGGCCCCCTGAATGGACATATGTTTCTGGTAGTAGTCGATGCGTTCTCAAAGTGGATGGAAGTGTGTCCGCTGCGAGCGGCGACCACAGAGGCTACAGTAGAAGCGCTCCGTGTTCTATATGCCCGGTGGGGGTTGCCGAAAACCGTCGTGTCTGACAATGCTCAATGTTTAGTTAGCGCTGGTTTTAAAATGTTCTGTGAGGAGAATGGTGTTCGGCACATTACCACTCCGCCATACTCGCCAAAGTCCAATGGCTTGGCCGAGAAGTCTGTTCAGACGTTTAAACACGGGTTTACTCGTCAGAAAACCGGTTCCGTGTTGTGTAAAGTGTCGCGTTTTTTGTTTAAATACCGTGCCACCCCGCATAGCACGACTATGCGATCCCCGTCTGAGCTGTTTCTCGGTCGGCAGTTCCGGACGCATCTGGATAGCCTGCGCCCGGACTTGCGTCGACGTGTGGAGCAACGTCAGTGCGCTCAGAAGAGCTCGGCGGACCGCGGGGCTAAGGAGCGCCACTGTGTGCCCGGTGATGCCGTGTACGTGTCGGCGGTGGACAGACTGAGCGGGGTGGAGGGAGTGCGTTGGCTGCCAGCGGTTGTGGTAAGCCGCAAGGAAACCGAAGTGGTCGTTTGTTTGGAGAGTGGGAATTTGTTGCGTAGACATGTAGATTGTGTGAGGATGCGCGTGACGAACGGGGCGGAAGGGTTTGATGATGTAGAGTTAGCACCCAGTGTTGTGCCGGCAGCTCCGCCCGCTGCAGTGCCATGTGATGTACCCGTCGGCGGCGACCGTCCAGGCCGGGCGCTCCGGTCGAGCGACCAGCGCCGGGCGCCCAGGCGTTTAGGCTACGATAGAGATTTCGCCCAAATATCTGTGGTGGAGGGATGCGGTAGACCGCGCCCAAAGCCAGGGCCCCGGGTAGCCGGGTCGGGGCAGCCTGCGCTGACCCAAGCCGGGGCCGCGCGTCTTCCCGGTGTCATGGATAGCCTGGGGCTGCGGTGGCGTCAGCGCTCGGGCCGAGGACGGCCTGTGTGTCGGCAATAAACAGTCTGGAACCGACTGAGCGTCTGTGTACTTCATTTTGCTCGAACAGCTTCCATCGTTTGCGAGCGACAACGACGAGTGCTACAATGACATGTTTACTATTGATGAATTGAGATGGTCAGTTTCCCATTGTGGAAATACCTCTGTTGGGCCTGATAAGATTCACTACATGTTTTTTAAGCAACTTAATGATGAGCAATTGACACAGATCCTAAAGCTGATTAATTACATTTGGCTTTCAGAGCGTCTTCCCGACACTTGGAAACATTCCATTATGGTGCCGATCCTTAATCCCGGGAAGCCAAGTCACCAACCCGAATCTTACCGACCTATACAGCTTACATCATGCTTCAGTAAGGTCATGGAACGAATGGTTACCAGACGGCTGGCGTGGTTTATTGAAAACGGAGGAATGCTTTCAGCCATTCAATGCGGATTTCGGAAGGGACGGAGCACAGCTGATCATTTACTACGACTGGAGTCCAATGTTAGACAGGGCTTCTTTTACAACCGGTATACTTTAGCTGTATTCTTGGATTTTAAGAATGCGTATAATCTTATTTCGACGGCGGCCCTGCTGACCAAGATGCACGCACTTGGTTTCAGAGGGCGAATGATGCACTTCATTCGATCCTACCTTGATAACCGAACCTTTCAAGTCAGAAATGGCTGCCTCTCCGATACATTTGAACAGGAAAATGGCTTGGTACAGGGTGGTGTAATTTCTCCGGTGTTGTTTAAGGGTGCGATGTTAATGTTAAGTCAATGGGAGGTGAAAAACCGCAATATCTTGAAAACCGATAGAGATATTAGCCTCAAATTTGGCATGTACCTGCTCCATGGGTATACAAACCTTACTTTGGACAAGTTGTTTGATTCCGTGCAATATTCACGTTGATATTGCACGATAAGGGTGGAAAAACTGAAAAGTTTGAGCCGAAATTCATTAAATGTCATTCAAACTAGGCGCAAAAAATGAATGGCACCCGTATCTCCTCAAAGTGGACAACAATTCTATGTACTCCGATTTTCCATTTTCTGTTTGCAATGTTGCAAAAAAATGAAAGTAAAACTTTGCTCATCTTTCATTTTTTGTGTGAGGCATAAAACAAAAAACCGGCTACATAGAAATGTGCACAGAACATTTCTTCACACGAAAATGAAGTTTACTTTTCAGAAATATCTGAACTGTGACTGGAATTAAGCCCGATTCATATCCACTTTTTGACGGTTTTGTTGGTTCAAGGGAGTGCCGCTAGATCAAGGCCCTAAATACAAGGTTGCACGGACTAATTTCTACTAAACCTACCAGAATATAGTTTCACGATTGAATATTTAAATAACTAATCAATCAAATCTTCTTCATTATTATCTCGTAATCATTTATATGCAATTTTATAAATATACTTTTAATTTGCTTGACATTTACGGGCAAAATAACTTTCTAGTATTGGGTCAACATAGTGGTGTAGCAGTAGGAACCATATCTGGCAAAACCCCAATACCTACATACAGCAGAAAAGCAGCCACCAGGTGTCGCCACAGGCGCCCCACAGATGTCGCGCGCGTCGCTTATCGCCACACTACCGATTTCCATAAGGACGCATATGTACGGATATGTAGGGGAAAGTCGCCCTTAAGGATTACGCTTACATCCTTTGCTTATAAGGTCGATGTTTGGAAATTGAGAGGGGCTCGGCTATTTTTGACCACGGATATGGCTTTTTCACATGATGAGGAACATGCTGATAATCGTTTAATGTGTCAAAACAGCACCCAAGTATTTTTAATCATTTTTCAAAAATAGTCGTTCTGCCGTATCTTTCAGTGCAAGGTGCCGTCGGTCATCCCCGACGTTACGTCACGCCGGGGATTGCCAGGTTTTCCTACTAGACTTCGACGCCCCCTGCGCTAGATGTCGTATGGGTCTCCGCCTCGGTCCCTGCCGTTCCCCCATGTGTAATAAAACCCGCGAGTCGCGCCGACCGGCGGGGAGGGACTGTCAACACACGGTGATTTACGGTCTGGGTTTCCCGCGTGTGCCGGTGGCCGTGAAACTCTGCTGGAACAGAAGCGAACTCGGGGTTGTCGGAGGAAAATACGGATGGTGGGTGGATTGAATGAGATTAGTGGATTTTATATAAGTAGTATATCGAGTAGTATACTATATCGAACTCTGAAGCTGCATTTGTATAGCGATCATAATTCACAACACGTCGGTATCGGTATACCTATAGCAACCACATGGTGAAGCTCAAGACCAAGAAGGAACAACCAGTACTAGGGGAAAGTGGGGAAAGACGGTCAGGGTAGGTAAGACGGGCACCCCTTCTGCAGACCAAACCAATAGCGCTACGAGCGAGAAAAAATTAGGACCAGAATTGCCTTTCCCACTACACATCACCATTGAAGTCTGGTGAATTTGTGTTCGGTCGATAATCTTTTATTTTGATTTCTTTAAAACACGCATTTCATTGAAAACATCCATAATGTATTGTGCAAGCTTTTGTGTGCAGCACTTTAGAGTTAAAAACTCGCAATCACTTGTGGTACACTCATATGCCACCAGTGTTCATTTACCGCGGATTTGCTTTGTTTGCATCAAATTGTCCACAGAGAAAAATCGTGCTGAACTTCTGACATTGAGTTTGGGGTAAGACGGGTAACTATGAATCCAGTGGGTCTGTAATGGTGAAAATATTTTTTTGCTGTAGGAAAAAAGAAGCATTCCTAATTAAAATATGATCGATTCCAATACTCACAGATATGTTCGCAATATTCCTTCGGCACAGTTTATTCTCGAATAATGAATGTGAAAAACGGTTCTACATGGCTTCTGAACTTGGGCCTACATACGAGCATACGCCTTCTGCACGAATCTCGTATACTGCCATTTCCGAAGCACTTGAGACCAACGAGCGACTGTATCAATGCGGCTAATCTCGGGCATTTGTTGCGAGCTGTGCTGGTCGGTGAAAGAAGCTGGCCGTCTTGCCCTACCCATGTGACCTTCTTACCCCATGGGGTGGGGTAAGACGGGTTTTTGCAAGATTTTGCAAAAATAGCTGCAGTTTATTTGTTGAATCAGGTCTGAGTTTCATCTTCTGACAAATGGAAGTAAAATGTCTAAAAAAGGTTTTCACTCAGTTTCCCGTTTCTATGATGTTTCTAACCGGCCGAAAAATGGCTCAAAAGTTAAGGTGCCCGTCTTACCCCACTTTCCCCTACTATCTATTGTAATACTCACGGAAAGTAATAAAACAGTGCATCAGTAGTTGTACATCAGCGATGCATCACACATAAATCCCCAGTTTGGCGTCTGCTCTGCTGACACAGTGCAGAGGCGAAGCCAATGAAAACATACCAGTATAACCGGTACATAATATTGCATCCATGGTATCATTGACATATTGCATTCGTACATGACATGAAACTGGCACAGAACAAGGAGCACAAAATGAGATCGGCATGATGCTGAGCGAATGCTTCAGTTTTGACACGATTGCTGAAATTACCTTAGCTGATGCGTGGTCGACATCTGAGCCAATGATGATATGTTACATCGAAGTCTCATTCACTGTTGTGACTTGTGAGTCGCTTTTTTACCCTTTTTGCCATGATGTGATGAATGACAAAAAAAAAAGTTTCAGCTTGTTAGATGTGTGGCAGGGCTAGTCGCCTGATCCGTATGTTTTTTTTCTTCACGTCTTTGCCCTTGGGCTCTCTATACCTTGACCGCTCACAGAACGGCATGTGTCGTGCTTTGCGGGGATCTATTTTCAGGCACGATGCTCTCATCATAAAATGCCTTCACTTTTTCCTGCAGTCTGTTTGCGATGAACGTTTCGTCAGCAGCTATGCGCTGACCTGACGTTTCGTTTGGTGTCCAGACAAAAAAGTCACAGAACTTTGAAGCAGTGCAAGCCAACTGGCACTGAACTTGGGTGTAATATTGGTGACTCTTTTTTAGCTCAAGTTTGTCGTCAAGAAAAAAAAAATTGGTTAGTCCACTAGAAGACGCAGCCAGTCTTTCCAGTGAAGTGTTCTCTGCACTTTTGGGACATTTCACTTCTACTATGATGTCATCAGAAACGATTCCATCAGGAGTGGCGGCCAAAAATGGATGCTTCGGGTGCACAACCAGCCCAACTGGTCTTTTCACTCCAGTGTTTGTTTGCTTTTCATATGCTTGTATAGCTAGCTCCTCGTTGACGCGGCCATACTGCAGAGCAGGTGTATCTAAATCTTTTGTTGTATCGTAAAGAAGTCTGTTCATGATGTTTTTGTTTGACGTTGAGTCTCGCATATTCGCTATTTGGTGAAAGGTTGTCGCAGTGACGCGTTTGCGTCGCTTGCGGTGCCACTCTTCCTTGTCATCAGCAGTGTTCTCAGCGATTTGGGCACGCTCCACAGCAGTGCTGCCAAGGCTCTCTAAGAACTCCTTTGTTTTGAGCTGATATTGCTGAATATCGCGGTCCTCTAAGTCTGGTGCTGCACAGTCGGGTCCGTAGTCCCCATCTGTCCCCGCGAGAGAACGCCGGACGTATCTGCTAACCCTTTTGGCCGGATCGTTGGGACGTTGGAGACGTTTCTTTTGAACGACATTGACATTTATTTTTTCATTATCTTTGTTGGACTTTTTTGATATTTTTGTTTGAAAACATCGATGTGCATCTGGCTGCCGGACTGGAAGGCTAAAGCTGCTGCGGCACAGCGGTCATGGTACCCACGTTTCTGGTAGTGGTTTACCCGTTTACCGCCGAGGGTTTTTGCCTCGGCGACAAACGACATGCTTTCAAATGAGAAATAGATGAGAAATGGAATACGAATCTTCCAGCTCATAGTCTGCTCCATTAAAATAAGATTGTGCGCATGGGGCTTAGCTTCAAATGAGAAAATAGATGCTGAACTTCCCGTTGTTGCAACGGAGCGAGCGAAGCAAGCGAAGTCTTTTCAATATAACGGATAAATCTCAGTAAGAGCGGCCCGGCCCGACCCGGCCCGGGCTG